GAGGTTCCTCAAAAAGTTGAAAATAGAGGTACCTTATGATCCAGCAATTGCACTACTGGGTATTTACCCCAAAGATACAAAAGTAGGGATCCGAAAGGGTACATGCACCCCAATGTTTATGGCAGCAATGTCCACAATAGCCAAACTATGGAAAGAGCCAAGATGTCCATCGACAGATGACTGGATAAAGAAGATGTGGTATATATATACAATGGAATATTATGCAGCCATCAAAAAAACCCCCGAAATCTTGCCATTTGCAGTGATGTGGATGGACCTAGAGGGTATTATGCTAAGCGAAATAAGTCAATCAGAGAAAGACAATTATCATATCATCTCACTCCACGTGGAATTTAAGAAACAAAACAGAGGATCATAGGGGAAGAGAGGAAAAAATAAAACAAGACAAAACCAGAGAGGGAGACAAACCATAAGAGACGTTTAATCATAGGAAACAAACTGAGGGTTGCTGGAGGGGCAGTGGGTGGGGGGATGGGGTAACTGGGTGATGGACATTAAGGAGGGCACGTGATGTAATGAGCACTGATGAATCACTGACCTCTACCTCTGAAACTAATAATACATTATATGTTAATTAATTGAATTTAAATAAAAATAAATAAAATAAATTACCTGCCCCTAAATAAACACATTCTTATGCAGTAGCTCAAAAGCTAAAAAATTCCCAGGTCAAGAAGGTCTTATTTATTCCATCTGTTTCCATGGTCAACAATCAATCAGCTGAGAAGGAAGATCAGAGGTCTCCAAGGAGAACACCCTTCCCCCAAGCTGCAGTCCTTCTCCAGGATTAAACTCTCTGACCTTGATACCTTCCCCTCACTCAGTATATAATACCAGCCAATGTCTGAAGAACATATGTTATGTACCACTGTTCTATGGGGTTTTTTTTAAGATTTTATTTATTTGGGGCGCCTGGGCGGTTCAGTCGGTTAAGCGACTGCCTTCGGCTCAGGTCATAATCCTGGAGTCCCGGGATTGAGTCCCACATCGGGCTCCCTGCTCGGCAGGGAGTCTGCTTCTCCCTCTGACCTTCCTCCCTCTCATGCTCTCTGTCTCTATTCTCTCTCTCTCAGATAAATAAAATCTTTAAAAAAAAAAAAAAGATTTTATTTATTTGAAAGAGAGAGAGAGAGTGTGTGTGTGAGCTGGTGGGGAGGGGCAGAGGGAGAGGGAGAAGCAGACTCCCCACTGAGCAGGGAGTCCTGACTCGGGGCTCAGTCCCAGGATCCGGAGATCGTGACCTGAGCTGAAGGCAGCCGCTAACAGACTGCACCACGCACACACCCCTATTCTATGGGTTTTATATAAATGACTCATTTAATCCACACTGCAGCCCCCTGGTGAGGACATGTGTGTTACCCCCTTGTCAAATGAGAAAGCTGAGGCCCCTGCTTAGGGTCACACTACCACAGCAGCAGAGCTACGATATAAACCCACACGCCATCTTTTTGACACCATGCTCTACTGCTTCCCAGCAGTAACTAGCATTAAATATGTTCAAGATACCTTTCTAAGGGCTTTACATTTATTCACTTTATACTCCTTACAATAACCGTATCAGGGAAGTACTGTCATTATCTACACGTACAAATGATGCATGGAGACACAGACAAGGAACGTGACCAGGAGATGCATCCCGGGATTGAACCTGACGTTCTGGCCCCAGACACCACGTGCTTTCTACACTCCAGCTGCCTTCGTCCATAAGCACAGTGCCTGCCATAGGCAGGTCACACTGCCGGGGCCATGGGAAGGGTGGGGGGACCGAAAACCCCATCCCAGCCCTCAAATGGCTGACACTCAAACTGAGGAAATAAGACCCATCAATGAAAAGTTGAATGAGAGAAATGAATTGTGATACATTCACGGCGTGGCATATTACTCAGCCATGAAAACAAACTATGGAAACTTGCAAGATGAAGGGATCTCAAAAGTATCATACTGAGTGAAAGACAGGCAAAAAAAAAAAAAAAAGGAGTACACACTGCATGATTCCATTTATAGAAAATTCCAGAAAATGTAAATGTATCTCTAGGGACAGGAAGCAGAGCAGTGGTTGCCTGGGGGTGGGAGACGGGGGCTAGGGATGCCTTCAAAAGAGGCCTAAGGAAACTCTGGGGGCTGACGGAAATGTTCATTATCATGATTGTGATGATGGCTTTATGGGAACGTCCATATGTCAAAACTCATCAAATTGTACCCTTGGAATAGGTACTGTTTACTGTATGTAAACTATACCTCAATAAAGCTGTTTTTAAAAATGGGAAATACAAGAGCCACAGCAGTGCAGAAGAAATGTTTGCGGAGGCTGGGGTGCTCCAGAAAGGCCTCACAAACGTGCATCTGTGCTGAGTGGGAAGGACCTGGGCAGAGGGAAGGAGAAGGAATTCTGAGTGGGAACAGAGGATGGAAAGTCCTTGTGGATATCTAGAAGATTCTAGAGACCTTCCCTGTCTGCTTGTGGGGGGAGGGTTACAGGGTAGGCGAGGCGCACCCCGACGCTTTGTAAGCAGGACCCTGCCTCAGAGAGAAGAGTGCCAAATAAGGACAACCCTGGTGACAGTGAGCAGGACAGAGGAGGCAGGAGCCAGCACCAGGAGCCCAGTGCTCCCCTAGGGTCTGGGAAGGTCCAGGGAGGGCCCAGGGCACTGGCCTCCGAGGCCTGGGAGTGGAAGGAGGAGGGGGACATCTCACATCTCCCCAGGCCTTGCTCTGTCCTGCCTCTTTCCTGCTTTTTGCACAGATGGTAATGCCAAGAAAATGGCCAATCAAGGGATCTATATTTAGACCTTTAAGTGGCAAAAGTGATGAAACGAGAAAGGAGACGACCATATTATTTATATATGTCTTTTTAAATGTGAACTTTAGATATCTAAATTCAAGAAAAAAGTAATACAATTTTCCCACGATCCTGAGAGTGGACAATAGACCTCAACAGATGACCAAAATCAGGTGTTAAGCCTCCTCTTCCAGGGATTTTTATTTTATTTTTATTTCCCCAGGAAGCTTTAATGAGGCGTGCCCGAGGCAGGGGACAGAATCTGGTCCCTGAGAAAGCCCTTTTCCCCGCTCACGCTAAGCTAAAGCACCAGCGGCCAGCTCTGCAGTGGCATCACCTGTCCGGTTAGGCAGCAAACACGCCAGCAGGTGGCACTCCTGCATCAGGACAGGCCAACTCCAGCCCGGCCTGTCTCACCCACTGGGTTCCAGGGCCAGGCAGGACTGTTCCCAGGACAGAACCGGAATGAGAGCAGGCTGCAGTTCTAAATTCAAAAAAGACAAAAGAACCGCCTACAGAGAATATGGTAAGGGAAAACTGAAGTCTTCAAAACCCCAGGTCAGAGAAGGGACACAGCAAGTGATCATGCACCACCCACCCCAGCCAAGGATCTGGGGGAAGATGCAGGAAAATTAAGCACTGGGCCACCAGGGAACAGCAGAGACCTCAGAGCAGGAAGCACAGGCTCCAGGCACTTCGTCCCAGGTGATGGAGGCGGTCCTTGCTACCCCTGCCCCCCCTGCACAGCCTCCAACCCAGAGAGGGACAGTCAGTGCTCAGCTGAATCCCCTCTGAGCCAGCCACAAAGGCTCACGTGTTCACACTGCGTTCTGTAAAATAAACAAGAGCTATGGAAACTGGTAAATATTTTGCCCTTCTGAAGTTACCACCAGAGACTTACACCCTGGATTATTTCCCTGAAGAAAAGCTGTCTAGGCTTTATTTTTTGGTGAAAGACATTTCATTTAATGGAAATGTTCTTTGTGTTAGATTTTCATTCTTTCTCTGCTTTGAATGGAAAAACTGAAATTGCAGGTGGCTGATCAGATATTTGTTTTCATCCATTTAAACTATATGTTCTGCAATAAACTAAAACTGGCTTTGTTCCCTTCATAGTTTTTGATTAACTCATTTTATTGTCACTTGGTTCTGAAATATATTTATAAGACTGTTTCTATGTCCAAAATATTGCACTCCTTGGAAGCACTCTCCACACAACTCAAATGCATATTCCAAACTGTTGGACGAGGTGAGGGGAGTGGTGAGGAGAAATCGAGTCAGAGGGGGTAGGTGGAGACACTAAGATAAAATTCACAAGCTTCCAGCTCTCAGCACCCTGCAGCCAAATGACAATCAGGGAGCCAGAAGCACTTTACAAACTTGAGCTTCCTTCTCATTACAGAATGCCAGAGAAGAGGGTAGAGACCATTTCTGCCTCCCTCTGAGAGCACCTTCCCACTCCCAGCAAATCCAGGTTGAAAGTACCACTGGGAGCTGGCACCACACATAAATGGTACCTACCCTTCAAGCCCAGTGGGAGGGACCCCAGGAGTGTGAAGATCAGGTTTTATTTACTCGTCTTGGAGAATATTACGGGACAGGCAGTTACTTCATTTGGCAAGTTGAAATACAGAGGTAGATTGTGACTGGTCTTCCCTCCTAATTCACCTACTCCACAGTGAGAGCAAATGGGGTCCACTAGGATAAAGCCAAATAACAAAACAGAGCAGATGAGAGCCGTCCAGTAATAGCTGGATGAATGCCTGTGCTTCCATGAACACACAGCCCAAAGTTTAGCTCCCAGTTCCAATGGGATCAAAAGCAGGGTTAGGACACTATGGGATGTCCTGGTGTCATGAATAGGAACCCTAGTTTTATCTGAGCCTCAGTCTCCTCACCCATTCAATGGCACATGTAATAATGACCCTATGGAGTTTTGGGGAGAATCAAAGGAAATGGTCCATTTCGTGGCTGACAATGTCTGGGACAGAATAGTGTAGTTATACTGTTTTCATCAATCTCTAGATTGGTCAGCTAGCTTTACCGTGAGTTCTCCTAGTTGTGATTAAATATAGTAAGTCACCTCACCTGGTTCACTTAGTGAAAAAAGTCCTCCCTGGTGATGATGGAGATGTTAAGTCTGGGGTATAGCTCCTGATCACAGAATACACTCTCCTTTGCTAGAAGTCATATCTGCTCTCCCTCTACCATGCTCTGCAGTATCACTGTCCGAGAAGAAGGACAGGACCCCCGCACACATCTATGTGTGCGCAGACACACACGGGCCAGCTACTGCAAATGTACGTGTTGTCAACTTTGAAGCTATGACTGCCATCTTAGGCCAAGATGGGGGAGGGTCTGGTAAGTGTCCTTTCAAAATGTACTCAATAACCTGTAGAGGGCTATGAGAACAGATGACTCCATGACTCCCAGGAAGATCAGCCCAAAGAAGACCTAGCAAAAAGGCATTTTCATACATCGGAAAGAGCACGCTCTTTGGAGTCAGACAGAGTTTTAAATACTGAGTGCAATTCCCAACTTCGTCACTTACAAACCATGTCCCTGGGCAAAGGAAGCTTTCTGAGCCTTGAATCTCTCTTAAAGATCTTGTAAATATTTACTAAGATGATGTAAGACATCCCAGTGTGTTCTGTGAAACCATAGTCCAAGGGGATGATACACACACACACACACACACACAGTTCCACAGTCAGATAAGGTTGAGAAGAAAAAACCCTCTGAAATACTTGCACCATACATTAGTGCATTAAGAGCTCTAAAGAATGCTGCAATAAAGAAACCTGTTTAGCTAGTGTTCTTTAAACTCTCTTGACCACAGGTAACTGTTAATATCCTGCAAAACAAACCTTCAAAAAATGTTGAGATAATGAATATATAGGGCTTAGTACAATGCAAGGTACATAATATGTTGTAATCATAGTAGACATCACTATTAGTATAAATATTCTTTTCCCATCCCCTTCTGGGTTCCTATAGCCTTCTACTTACATGAATATAATGATGATAGTAGTAGTAGTAGTAGTAGTAACACGTTATTAATACTTTGGTGTTTGCTTACACAGCTAATATATGACAGACCCAGGATTTGAACCAAGATGTGTCTGGCTCCAAAACCATTATGTCATACTGCTTCCCTAGTCTTCAGTGATCCCCTTAAGAGTTGACCCTTGCTGCCACAGTTGGAGGGGGCCAATCACCGGGGAACACTTCACGCTACCGACCCAAGAGAGAAGCAGCCCCATGGGAGGCAAAAGGCCAGGGCTCCTACCTGGTGCCGGACTCCATCCTCACTGACACACTGGGTACAGGCCTCCTCGGGGACACAGCTACCTTCCAGCATGACCTGGTCTGGGGGACAGAAGCAGCCTTCCGAGGGATGGTCCCCACAGGAGCTTGTATTGCCTTCACAGAGCCGGGGGCAGCCACGCTCACAGTGGTTGTACACCAGGGACGGTGGGCATGACATATCTACAGACAGAGAACAGGGTCACACTCAGCCCACACCAACCAGACAGAAACAAAGGCACAGCTGCTTCAAAGAGGTTGGCCATCTGACAAACTTGCTGGGGCAGAAATGGCTAATTTCTACCCATTTTTATTCCCTCCATTTTCCATAAATGGTTCTGTAAGCCAGGCACCTGACCACGGAGTACAGACTACATTTCCCGACCTCCCTTGCCGCTAAGTGTAGTCACGTGACTACAGTTCTGCCCAGTGAACTGTAAGCGCAAATGAAGACTCCAACAGCAGTTTCCAGGAATCTTGTTTTTTGGGTTTTTTCCACCATTTTGACCCAGGAATCTTTTTGTAAAAGGACAGCTGTGTGTGTCCTTTGTGCCTTTTCCCTTCTTCACTCCCACTGCCATCTGGAACCCGGATGTGACAGCTAGAGGTCCATCTTAAGCCATGAGAAAAAAGCACACCCAAGTGAGGGCAGAGCAAAAAACTAGAATCCAGTTTGAAGCCCAGAAACAGCTGGAGCCACCTCCCTCTGATCAACTGTGTGAGAGAGAATTTTACTTCTCTGTTATTGGAGCCAAATTTAATCCTAACAGATGATATGAGCCTGTGTATCCTTAGGAAGTTTTATGGGTGTTTCTTTTGAATACAGGTATATTGAATCCTTTAAAAAAATCCTCTTAAATTAAATAAGGAATCCACAGCTATGAAGAGTTGCCTGGAGAAAAGGTACATGATTCACTTGGCCCACTCTGGCCCTGCTCGACCCCTTCTCACGGTGCCAAGGCAGGTGGCAGGAGTGTCTAAGGATTTAGAGCATCAAGCATTTTCCTGTAAGTGCACAGTGAGTAGCCGGGGGTAGACAAGGAAATTAGTAAGTAGAGAAGGACTATGGCTAACTCAGGAACTATCATTTGCCCCTTGAACTGCAGGCAGGTTGAAACAAGGCACTACCATCTAATGGACTCAGAACAACAGAGTTAGATGGAACCTAAGGGTTGCTCGTCCAACCATCTCATTCTGAGATGCAGAAAGCAAGGTCCAGATAGACAGAGAACAGATGATCAGCTCCTGAGCTGGGACTAGGGTGCCCAAGTCCTCCAGCCACAGGCTAGAGTTGTGGCAGTTCTATGATAATAAACTCTGAGACTCCAAGATGCTTGCATATATTGATTTCCCTCCAGAGAAAGTCAGAGATTGTATTCAGTAATTGGGGGGTGGGGGCTGAGTGTTCTTTTCATTCCAGCGCCCCCTGAGGCAGGAATCACATCTGATTCATTATGGTATCCCCTGCATGCTAAATGATGAATAAATGCCAAGTCCAAGTAGGAGAGCTGATCCTGGGGAGGAACCTCCACTAGCAATCCCATGGTCTTTCTAATTAAGATGCTTCTTATTATTTCAGTGGCAAAATTCCACTCACACTTCAACATCCTGCTCAGGCATGGCTTACTCTGTGAGCCTCTGCTAAACTTGGGGTAATTTCAAATCAGAAATGTGACTGGTCATTCTGTACTTTGCTGATGCCTATATGTGTCCAATACATTAAAGTCACATTTGTCTGAACTATAGAAACGCTTCCATTTACACAGACATTCTACACCCAAATTACTGAAACATCTATCATTTTATTTGATCCTAAATAAGATCCTAGGTAATGGGAAAAGCAGGGATTTTGATCTTTATCACCCAGAAAAAGAATATGAGGCCCAGAGAGGGTTGAGCAAGACCACAATTAGTTGGTCTTCACAACTTTACAGGATGCCTTTGGAGACTCACCACAGAAACTGGTCCTCCTCCAGTCAACACAGACCCCCTTGGTCCGACAGAGGTGGGCATACAAGGCAATCGCCTCACACACCTGCTCCTGGTGGCAACTGTCTTGCTGGCACATGGCGTAAAAGGTGGTTGGAGTGAGGACCTTGTGGCACTCAGCAAACAATTCTGAGAGGAGGACCTGGCAGTGGGAGTTGCTGGAGACGGGACACTGCTCCCAGGAGACCGGTTGGCACGTCCTCCCCGGCTGCTGCACGGTCCATTCCTGGACGAGCACTCTCCAGTCTGTGGTGACCGTGCCATCCCTCAGCATAAAGTCATTGGCTCCGTTCTCGTCACAGATCCCTAGACAGATGGAGAAAGGCAAGATTGGTAGCCCTGGGTGCTGACATATTGATGTTGGAGACCTGGCCACTCTCCATGCCCACCAGCTTCTGAACCTTACAATCAACTGGACCCAGAAATACAAGCAGCCAAGAGTCCTGAGACTAGAGCAAAGGAGAAAGTTCTCACCACAAAGACCATACGTCTTTGAAGCAAAGGTCTTGGGGCTGAGCTGCAGCTGGAACTCATTGTTTCGTGGAGTGAACGTGAAGATGTGGCCAAGATGGTTGAGTCTGATCTCATACATGATGGTGCCGTAGACATTGATTTCCATGTCCCCACCCACATATGGGACAGGGACCAGTCTCCCATTCACTGTCGGCTGTCCAAAGAAGACAGTGATTCATCAGTAGTCACACAATAAGGAATCCTAGAATTTCACTCTTAGCTTCTTCCCAAAGTTACCGACAGTTCCTGCTCTCAACTCCAATGTCATCCACAAACTCTGATATTTGGCAGTAGCTCTTCTAAGGTAAAGGAGCGTTGCAGAGCTTGACAGAACAGATTATTAGAATCCTTTACACCCCTCCTAAAAAGGTGGTGCTCTGCTGGTGAGGCAGAAGGTGGAGTCCCTAACAGACACACCAGCTAAAACCAACCAGCAGCGGAGGCTTCTTCGAGGTTCTGTTGCTGCCTTGCATGGGACCCAGAGAAAACACCCCTCACCTGCATATCACTGTGGAGCTCAACTGAGAGGCCGTCATGCTTCACCTCGATGGATTTCATGCAGGCCTGCCTCACCCCAGGGCTGCAGGCACCATTATGGAGAATCACCTCCAGGTCCTGCTCCTTGTTTTGAAATAGGACATATGAACAGCTGCCAGTCAGTTTGAAGTTCTGCCCATCAAAGGTCACGATGTGCCGGGTAGAGCTGCCCATGCACACACCTGGATGGGGAGAGCAAAGGACGGATGTGACGTTCTCCAAACCCCCATAAGTGCAAAGAGGCAGGTGTTACCAAGCTGCACACAGTTAACAGAACTGAGCGCTGAATGGGCCCTTTGAGGTCATGCAGTCTAATTTCCTCCTTATTCTGAGGGATAGAGTAGCTTAGGTAAGTAACACTTGGCCAGTAAATATTTTTCTAGAGAAGGTTTAGAAGGATAAGTATCACATAAAAAAACATGGAAAATTATAGAGCCATACTTCCACTTTAGCGTGCGAAGTGAATGATCTCCTCTACAGGGATGCCTTGGCCCAGGAAACAAAGTTAAGTCTCAGGGTTGTTAGGACTTGTTGAAATCATGAGGAGCTAAGCGTATCATGAGCTTATGAGCTCATTGTAAAGAAAGTTCACCTAAAGACACATGTGTCCTCTCAGCTGCCAAGTTTCTAACGGTACAAGAGGCCATGTTGACTTGATCCTTTAAGAGATCACACAAGAGGAATATTTCTGAAGCCAAAACAAATGATTGGGTCTCAGCACTCCCTCATTTGCCACTCATTCATTCACATGATCAGCAAATTCTCAAGGTTCCTATTAAAACACCACTTGGGAATACTAGTCATCTTGCATCTGCATAAGATGATTCTGTAAAAATCCCCCCATGGAAGGCACCACCACCATGCGTGATTTGAAAGTTAATCTTGGACCGAAATGAAGCTGGAGATGAGCTTTCCGGAGCAACCATGACCATAGCTATGGTGGTGGGTAAATAAAAGCCCAAGAACTGAGAGGCAGACTCGGTGGGTCAATGAGAATGCATTCATGTCCCTCACTCACAGCAGGTCTAGGCAACCTCCATCTGCACGAGTGACCTGTAGGTCAAGCAGCATGGCCACTAACAAAGGAGGGGGCTGGATGCACCAGCTGTCAGAGCTGAGCAGCCTGCTAGGAACTCTTCCACTCAAAATCTCCTGAGTCCTAGAGTAGATGGTCCCTTCCAAGGGGCAGTACTGAACGCCTTTGGCCCAATGACACCCATGCTGCAAGTGGCCCAGCTGTGGAGCGTGTCAAGCCTTAAAGAGATCAGCCCCAACTGCTATGAGGATGTAGCAAGTCACAGGCAAAGAAATGGTGTTAGCTCACCTGAGGCTCTGCCCACCAGGGCATAAACTGTTACAGTGAAGTGGGTACTTCAGAGCCAGAGAAACTCAAGATTGAATTTGGCTCCCACCCCTTGCTTGTGCTGTGATCTGGGATAAATTACTTCACTTCTGTGATCCTCTCGTGTCCCCGCTGCTGTCTTTGAACTGATAGAGAGGATTTCTGGGCTATGTTTTTAAGCAAAAGAGGCAAAGCTCATTTGTGAAGAAGGATAAACCTGGAATGAGTGAGGTCGGTTGCCTGCACGAACGTAGGTGGAAATAAGCAGAAAGGACAGAGGAAAGGGGACAGGGGAGTGACATCCGAATAAACCTTTCTGTACACGCTCACATTTGGAGCCAGATTAGTAATTCACATACCGAAAACAAACAAATGAATAAAATCAGCAAGAATGGGGATGAGGGAAACCCAAAACGGAATACAAACAGAAACAAATTAAACTCATGGTAATGAATAACATAACTACACTGTACGGAGGGGAGAAACTAACCTAAATAACTTTGGGGGGAAATGTACTATGTACTCAAAGACAAAAGATAAAAAGAATTGTATACAAATATCGTACTCTAGTTAGTAGATTTGTTTTCTGTCCAGGCATTGGTTAGCAAATTCTGAAACTACTTTATGTGTATTCTGGGATTAAGCCAACATAGAAATATATTGGGGATAATGAGAGCCAGGCTCCTCACTGTGTGAGAGAGTGAGCTGGGGATGTCAAAAGGACACGAGTCAAATTGAAAGGACTCCCAGCAGCCAAATCCAGGACCAGCTGACCAAGAAAATAAATAATGCTAGTAATTGATTCTACCCCCTAGAATAAAATAAGAACCGATGAGTCCATATTGATACAAATAATTAACTGAATTAATAAATGACAGAGAAGGAAAAGTTCTTCCTTTCAGTAGAATTCCAACTAGTAAATGTGGAGAGAATGATGGAAATCAAAAATCACTATTTGGCAAATACTACAATAAAAATTGTGTCAGGTAAGGATTACCCATGCATGGTAAACTCAGTGGGTAAAAGTATATTTCCATAGTTCCAAAATATTTCTGTACACGATCATTATTAACTGCAAGGAAGAAAACGTAACTTAAATACCACCTAAACCAAGTGATCAAACTTAACATCACCTGTAATGAGGCAAATTGATAACATGTACCTCCTCTTGATAAACCAAAAAAGACACAATATGTCTTCTGGATTATTCTTGACATGTATAATCTGACTCTAACTCAAATTGAGGGACATTCTACAAAATTACTAGCCAGAACTTTTCAAAAAAGGTCAAGGTCATAAATATCAATAAATACTAAGGATCTGTTGCAGATTTAAGGAGACTACAGAGACATGATAACTTAATGCCATGTGTGATTCTGGGTTGAATCCTGCATCTGAACAAAGGACATTAGTGGGACAATGGACAAAAACTAAGATTTTTATGGATGTATTTTACGGATGTTAATTCCTGATTGTGATCATTACACTGTGATTATGTAAGATACTACAATCTGGGTAAAGATATACAGGAATTCTTTGTACCGTTTGTGCAACTTTTTTTGAAAATCTGAAATTATTCAAAATAAGAAGTTTTAAATGGTTTTAATTTAAATTTTTTTAATCCTTAACAAAAAGAGCCTAAATCAAGTTTTACCACTTCTGATAAAAGAGAATATAAAGAGGGGCGCCTGGGTGGCTCAGTTGTTAAGAGTCTGCCTTTGGCTCGGGTCATGATCCCAGGGTCCTGGGATCGAGCCCTGCATTGGGATTCCTGCTCTGCAGGAAGCCTGCTTCTCCCTCTCCCACTCCCCCTGCTTGTGTTCCTTCTCTCGCTGTGTCTCTCTCTATCAAATAAATAAAATATTTTTTTAAAAAAGAGAGAATATAAAGAGTAAAAAAAGTCAAGAGTATAAAAGGAGTCCAGAGGAGTATTGAGGGACTGAATTTAAGAAGAAATTTGTTTGCACAAAACTCCTATTGCATTGTGAGTCTCACACCCCCAGGTGCCCCACTAAGGACAAATGGGACACCTGAGCCTTATGAACAGGACTTTCGAGAGGCCCCTTCCAGAGAGGGGTCTGCATCCCACAAGTGGGACACATCCCTGTCCTGGGGGCAAGCAGCCCAAATTGGGATTAAGGAGCTGTTTTAACTCTAACTCAAGTTTAAGGTTTTGATTCTTACACGGGGATGGGCACCGAATTACCAAGTTGAGAGTTTGTTTTATAATGTAAAGGAACCATAGAACTTTTTATGAATAAGCAGAAATGATGAGGTCTGGTAGCATTCTTATCCAGTCCAGGGAGATCATTTATCCCACTAAATAAATAGTCAAGGGAGGGTGGGGTATAAAATACAGTTTAGTTTTTATCCCACTGGTTGTGTTTGTTCAACATAGTAATTATGCTGAGTAGGTATTGCCAAACACAGCCATTTCTCCCAACCATGAGGCAGAGGGCTGACCCACCCCCATGGATGAATGCCCTCCACAGGTCTGCACAAGAAGGACTTGACTATGTCCTCCTCTTACACCAGGCCACTGTGATGACGTACCACAGCACCCAGCTCCCATACAGCTCTAGGTGTGAGTGGAGAGTTTTCTGGGGGCACCACTCTCACTGCTACACTTCTCCAGCATAGACTCCTAAAGGCTGACTTGCCAACAGCCAAGCTGAGCTCTGACCTCAGAAAATCAATTCTTCCTTCTCGTTATGCCTTGTCTGGGGAAGTGCTTTCCAAAGACACAGGAGAACAGCGATCCCTGGGACTGAATGAAAACACGTCTAAAGGACACAAAGGGGAGGAAACATGGGTGAAGGGAGCACTCTGCATATAGTGAGGAGGGAAAGGGCCTTCTGGTCTACCTCTCTGCACAGCCATGCTAAAAGTACTGCCCCTATAACACTGTCCAGGCTGGTAAAGCAAGGGACTCACAGGGGCAGGTCCAGCGGCAGCCACAGGTCTCCTCCACCCTGAGAGGGGGCTGGCCATTGGGGCAGGAAGGCCTCGGCCCTCGGTCACAGTTGACCCGATGACTCTTCAGCAAGGTCTGGCCATCTGGCAGGCAAGTCACTGTGTGGCACTGGTCTGGCAAGGTCCAGATGTCCCCAGGCTGCAGAAGAAAAAAGCAGATTCAGGCAAGCATAGGCTGAGTCAGTCCTGCCCTAAGCCCATCAACTGGGCAACTGACCCCCTCTAAGGACACAGAGACTAGGACTTGCACATGGGCCCAAGCAGCAAGAAGGCAGAACACAAGATTTACAGGTAAAAACCTACACACACACACACACACACAAAAGCAGGATATAATGGTAAGAGCGAGAACCAGACCAAGACAGAAGGAGGAACAAGGGGGAAAAAGCACCCCAAATACTCATTCTGATCTTTTTTTCAAAGTCAGCTGAAAGGAACTCACCCTCTTCTCGTTCCCATCCTCATCCACACAAACTCTAACGAACCCTGAAACAGACACAAATAAGATCTGAGGTCCCACCCATTATGCAGAAGTTCCAAGCCATTCAAGATGTCTGCTTGGACACCCAGGCTTGTCTGTGAAGTGGACTTCAGTCTGCAAAGGATCTGAGAGGATTCAACCATGAGGATGCGGGTCCACCAAGCTAAGAGGTGGCCATCCTGTGGTTTTTTCCAGCATGCTTTGCAGTTCTTAGTAATTATGGCGACAACAACAGTAAGAGCACAGAAATCCCTACAGTGCATAGTCAGTATCTCCTTTTCCCATTTCATATGTAGACCAGTGCCTAGTGAGAGGAAGGGGGAGGAAATGAGGCAAGATCCCCAAAATGTGAAAGAGATCTTTAAGAGTCCTGCCAGGAGAGCTATCTTCCAGCAGGAAAGGGCAATAACTCTGTAGTAGGTATTGACTCACAGCTAGTTACTTAAGGAATATAAATAAAAACAGGTAAAAAAAAATCATATACAGTAAAAAAAAAATTCTAAGTCAACTTAAACTATGATACTTTGGTATTAGATTCTATGTTGCTGTTTTTCTAAGGCCCTGTATACTCGTGCTGAGACTGAATATAGGGCGTGGGGAAGAAGACCATGGTCTGCGGGACACTGGGGTTCCCTGCTTCTGTCTTCCACTTCTTTGTCCAAAATCACTCTGCACAAGTAAGCACGGGCTGTCTCTGCTAAAGTCTTGATGGGCAGTTAGGATGGAAGGAGGGCTATACACAGAGAACTTTCTGGTACCCCCTTGGGTGTTTTAGTATGAACTTCCCATGAGCAGAAACTTAAAGGTCCCGGTCTATGTAACTGTCTTCATCAAGGCCTGGCCAACCTCAGGCCAACCTCAGGTCTCTAGAATGGGTTTTGTTTTTGTGTTTTGTATTTTGAGGGAGTAAAAAAGACATGAGGACACTCACCAGAGCACAGCTTGTGGAAGAAGGAATTTCCTAGGGTGGCCATGGTGGAGAGATCTTCGATTCGCTGGAGCCTCAGCACATTGGAGCCGGCGTTTGGGCCTGCCAGCCTCCTCAGCTGGGCCTCATCATACCGATCCCCGATTCCAATGGGGAACACTGTCACTCCTGGGGTTAGCAGAGGAACGAGAAAGGGTCTGTGTCAACCTGCTTTGGTAAGCTGGGCCCCAAATGGACAGAGCTGCAGCTGTACCCAGCATCTGTACAGAGCCTCATATTTTCCAGACGGGTCACATAAACCGACCCTGGGAGCAAGACATTCAGTCAGTCAACCAACGTTAATGACACCACTCTGTGCCGGGTACGATTCTAAGCAATGGGGACACAGTGAGCCGAACAGATGAAGTCCCTGTCTTTGTGGACCTTGCCCTGGGCAGAGACAGACACCAAACACAAAAATAAGTAAATATCCAGCATTTCAGATGTGTATGAGTGCTTAGGAAAAAAACAAAATGTGATATGAGGATGGGAGTGCCCAGGGGTAGGAGCGGGAGTTGCTGTTTCATGCAAGGTGGCTGGAGAAGCATTTGGTGAAGAGATGACATCCGAGCAGAGACCTGAAGTAAGGATTGAAGGAGCCACAAGGATATCCCAAGCAGAGAGAACAGTGAGCGCAAGGGCTCGAGCAGAAGTATGAGTGCATGCTCCAGGGTGGTGGGAACAGAGCAGATAAGAGGGGGTGGAGCACAGACCATGCAAAGCTTCATAGGCCACGTAAGGACATAACATGTTCTCTGAATGAAATGAGAAGCCAGCCAAGACTATGGAGCTAAGGAGTGACATGGGCTAACCGATTTTTTTAAAGATTTGTTTATTTTAGAGGGGGGAGGGGCAGAAAGAGAGGGAGAGAGAGAATCCTCAAGCAGACTCTGCACTGAGCATGGAGCCCAACACAGGGCTCGATCCCAAGACTCTGAGATCATGACCTGAGCCAAAATCAAAAGTTGGGCCCTTAACCGACTGAGCCACCCAAGCGCCCCTGGGCTGACCAATTTTTAAAGGGTCGCTACAGCTGCCATGTTTATTATGAACTACAGGGGACAAGGGTGGCGGCTGGGGTTCCATCAGAAAGCTCTTACAATAGTCCGGGTGGGAGACAAGGGTGACAGTGGTGGGCGTGGTATGGTGCGGTGGGCTTCTCAATATCTTCTGAAGGCAGAGCTGTAGTTTGTGGATGGACTGGACAGGGTCTGAGAGAGAAAGAGGAATCACGGATGCTGAAGTTTTGGGCCTGAGCAGCTGGAAGGATGGAATGCCATTGTCTAAGATGGGAAAGGCTGTGGAAGGAGATTCAGATGTGAATTTGGTTTATGTTGAGTTTCTCTTTAGAACATCGAGGTGGAGTCAAGGTGAGAGATCCAGGCAGGAGACAGGAATATTGAGGTCAGCAGTGTATGAATGGATTTAAACCCATGACACTAAATGAGACTACCCAGGGGGTGAGTGTAAGAAGAGAAGAGAAAATGTCACAGGCCTGAGCCCGGAGTATGTATGTGCCCATTAATAGATGAGAAACTGAGGCTTTGAACAGTTCAATGACTTGCCCTAGAGCATGTCTATTTCCCCCAGACTGCAACTGCTTCCCTTCCAGATGAAAGTCCTTCTTGGGGTTCATGAGAGAAGAAGTGTCTCCATCCTGAAATTCCCCAATTCAGTTCTCCAGAAAGTTCTAGGTATTTGCAGTTGGCTTAAGGTTAGAGCTGATTTTCTACCAGCAACTTTTCTGTTCTTGTTAGCTCATTGTATCATCCAAATGTATATTCTTTCCCTTTTAGGGTCCTTTTCCCTAAAATAATCAATTTTATAAACATGTCTCCTTCATTCATTCAACAAACATTAGATGGCCCCCTATTTTGTGCATCAGGCACAGATGACAGGAAAATAAGCAAGCTGTTGCCCTTGCCCTCAAAGACCCCCAAGTTCTGCAAGAAGCAGATATGTAACAAGCAAATACAATGTCACTTGCACATGTTGAGTTGTTCAGATGTGGTACAGAAAAGGGAGTGGATAACTCTCTTAGGAAGACATCAGAGCAAAGACAACTCCAGAGCAGGGTTCTGAAGGATGACCAAGTCTCCAGATGGCCACTTGAGGACTTAACATCGTTCCACTCACCCAGCGCCTCCTGGGCACCATGCCATCTGCCCTGGCTCACATTCCATTGCTATTCACAGCACAAGTTCACATGGGGCACCAAAGCTGGGTCATGCCCACGCCTGTCCCTGTCCTAAAGCTGCACCCTTTCTCTTGTCCAACCAGCACCCCACCCACTGGTACTGGAAGAGGTTTTTTAGGTTGGTACTGGAAGAGGTCTGATGGTTCCCACGGCCCCATGAGTCACTCTGGCCTCAGACATGGTGAGAGTGGGGACAGAGCAAGGACACCACCTCAAAAAGGAAAGGCGTGAAAGTCTGACCCAGCCCTGGACACAAAGGAAAAGTCTGGAGAAACTACAGGTGACAGCCGAAAGCATGCAGACCAATGAAGGACAAACACGTATTTATTACTGTTTGGTTTCTAAGTAACATGGGGATTGGGCGACTTCCTGCTGTTTGAAACCAGGCCACAGGTAGCTCTGTAGCACTCACAACCATCCAGGCCACCCGAAAGCATCCCCTCCCCACCAGCCCACTTTCAGTGCTCTAGTGGTTTAGGAGAGTCTCGGGATCATACACTGGACACTTACGGTTGGACGTGGCGGCATCAGCTGCAGCATCCACTGAATCCGCAGAGACATCCGTGACGAGGATGACCACTGCCTTCGAGGCTCCGGGCCTGGCACCATGCACTTCGGAGGTGACATATCGCACAGCATACTCCAAAGCATCCCCTGAGAATGGAAAACAGCCCACACCGAGTCAGTCCTGACAGCAGGAACGCCGGGTCTCCTGTCTCATGGCAGATCCTTAGGTGGTCAAAATGGAACGATTCAGAGACAGAGAAACACACACTGAGATCCAGGAGAGCAGCTAGGCCCGCACACTTTCCCAGAAAGGAAACTAGCCCAACGAGCCAAGGGACCGGCCAAGGTCACTCAGTCCCGGATGCCAAGAATTGAGACCAGACAAAGCTCCCGGCCGCAGCAGCAAGTTACCGATGTGGCTGAGGCCTCCCTCCCGCTGCATGAGGTCCACGTGGCTCAGGAGGTGAGCTTTCTCATAGGCCACGTTCCATGGCACAGCCGTGGTGGTGGAGCTCCCGTATTGCAGCACCGAGACCTGCGTGAGCCGGGGCCCTGACAGGAAAGATGACGTGGGAATCATAGCCTGGATCGGGCGGAGCCCCCCAGAAAGCACTCCTTCCCCACCGGCTCCTCCAGGGCACCACTTACCTAGATTAGTTCTTGAAATGAAAGCCTTGGCAAAACTCTTCATCTCCTCAAAGTAAGAATTGGGAAAACTGGAGGAGCCGTCCAGGAGGAGGGCCACGTCCAGGGGCTGGCTGCAGTCTGTGAAGAGAGCAGAGGGTAAGCACACAGGGGCTGGCTGCCAGGCCCCCTGCAGCTCACAGCACATCCAAGGGCAAGCAGGATGCTGCCGGCCGCTCGGCACCACAAAGGGGAGGGTGTCTCCACTGGTCCTGCACAGTGGGAACACGGGCCCGGGAGGAGCGAGAGGGGCCCATGAGTGCCCCAGGTCTGGACATACTGGAAAGGCAGTTTATATGCCTACAGATGAAAGCGAGAGGCATTGGCTCCCTCAGTAACTGGAGGCTGCAACTCTTCTAGAACTGAACAAAGTACCAGAATGGCACAACAGGGAGATGGATGGCTAAAGGAGATGGAGTGGCAGCTGAGGGCTGGGGAACGAGCTTGTGTGCCATGAGGTGTTAGGGCCGGTGAAGGTGCTGTAAGGTGGTCCAGCTGTACGTGACTGGCACTCGTGGTAATGTTTGGGCAGAGCCATGATCACAGTGCAGAAACAACCTCTGGCCGAAAAGCCATCCCGAGATTTGATAAGACGATGCTACTACTATTCTCCTCAGCACAAATACCACAAGAATGTCAATAAATCTGTGGCTCTGGTTAAAACCAAAACCAAGACACAAAGGCACTTACAACAAGTGTGAGGATCAGGAGACATTTAAAGAAAGTTATTCTGGTGTTAGTCTTTCATTCCTTGGGTAATACCCAATAGTGGAATTACTGGATCATATGGTAATTCTATTTTTAACTTTTTGAGTAACCTCCATACTCTTTTCCACCAATTTGCATTCCTGCCAACAGTGCACAAGGATTCCTTTTTTTCCACACCCTCGAAAAGATATAGGCATCCCTCCGTTTACAGCAGCATTATTTACAGTAGCCAAGACATGGGAAGCAGCCCAAGTGTCCATCCATAGAGAGTGGATAAGAAGATGTGGTATAAATACACACACACACACACACACACACTGTACTATTATTCAGCCATGAAGAAGAATGAAGTATTGCCATTTGCAACAACGTGGATAGAACTAGAGGGCTGACCTAATGCTAAGTGAAATAAGTCAGAGAAATACAAATACCATATGATTTTACTCATATGTGGAATTCAAGAAACAAAACAAACAAAGAAAAAAGAGACAAACGAAAAAAACAAACTCTTAACTACAGAGAACTAACTAGTGGTTGCCAGAGGGGAGGTAGGGAGGAGGGGTGAGATAGGTAAAGGGAATTAAGAGCACACTTATCGTGATGAGCACTGAGAAATGTGTAGAATTGTTGAATCACAATGGTGTACACCTGAAACTAATATGACACTGTGTGTAAATTATACTTCAATTAAAAAAAACAATAAAGCTCTTAGGAAAAAAAAGAAGTTAGTTATTCTGGATGGTCCCGAATACTCCAAGGAATGTCTTGAACACTCTGCTCAAGAACTAGGACCTGATTAGACATTAGCATCAGTTAAGAAGGCAGTCACCTAGCTCTGGTGGCAACCAGTTTTTGAGCACTTGGCTATGTGCTGAGTACTGTTCTAAGCATTTTACAAGCACTATTGTTATCCCCATTTTACAGATGAGCAGACATATACACAGAGGTACTCGCTCAAAATTACCCCCAAATTATTACCAAAAATAAATTGCCCCAAATTACCCAGCTGGTAAGGGGCAAGAGTTGAATTTCAAACTAAGGTGGTCCGGCTCCAGAATCCGAGGGTTAAACCTGTCACCTAACTTCCTGGCCTTGCCCCAGAGATCACCAGCTACTTAAGTGATTGTATCCATCCAGCGTGGTCAAAGCTGAGAGCCACTACATTTAACAGGTTACCTCCAAGCAAGGCATGGGATTGGGTAGTGATGAGGCTGTGTGATAAAGCAAGACTTGTATTTTTCACTCTATATCCTTGACATTGTTCACATTTTAACAATAGCCTCGAGTAACCTTTGAATTTACAAGCACACTCAATAAGAAAAGATCCTCCTGCCGCCAAAAGATCACAGATGCAACTCCCTGGCTGGGAGGTGAGGAAACAAGGCCCTCTAAAGGCCAGGGTTTGACTGAAGGCACAGAGCAGGGAAGCAAGATTGAACCCAAGAATTGCACCTCCACCAGCCCTCAGCAGCCCTCACATCAGGCAAGGTGCCCACCGACCTGGGGTGGGGGCGAGGGTGGGGGGCTGCGGCCCCTCTCCAGAGCAGCACCTCTGCAGCACCAGATCAGGTGCCTCTCGGGGGAGCGTCTCAAAGTCCTGAATAAGGATGGGGGCATTGGGCCAGCTAATACTCTGCAGCTCCTGCACATCGGCGTGAGGGCCCACTCCAATGGGCACCACCTGGATGTCTCCAGGCATCCGCTTGATCTCATCAGAGGCGGGGTTTCCTGTGACCATGTAGACCAGGTTAGGGACCTGCTCCCGATCCCCCTGGCTGACAGAGAAGCTGTGTTCAGACAGGTACTGCAGGGCCAGCCCGGTGTTGGTCCTGTTGCCGCCCCGGTATCGGATCTCCCGCACGTGCTGCAGGACCTCCGCCTTGGCCTGGGTGTCGCTGAAGGTGTGCTCCACGGCCACCGTGTAGGAGTACTGCAGCACCATGACACGGATGCTGTCCTGGCCCACGTCCATCCGCTGAATCACCTCCTCCATGAACTCCCTACTCTTGTTAAAGTTGGCCTCACCAATTTTGTCCGACCCTTCCAGGACAAACACCACATCCAGAACCACGGAGTTCCTTTTGGGTCCCGATGAGGGAACCCCCAAGAGCTCCGGACCCACAGTAACCGGGACCATAGAGGGGTGCTGAGTAGGGGCAGGTGCTTCCGGGGCAAGGTCACAGAGGTAGCTGATAATCTCGTCTCTTCGCTGCTCCAGCTCGTCCACACCACTGAGCACAAAGGCCTTGTTCTCGGGGGCCTGCTTCTCGATGTTTCGGATCTGCTTGAGGTTGGCATGGGGCCCGATGCCCACGGGGATCACAATGACTTTCTTCTTCTTCAGGCCCTGCACGTAGCGGACCAAATTCCGGGCCAGCCTCGGGGGCTCCTGGCTGGCCATGAGGAGCAGCGAGATGCGGGACGCTTCAGGGCGGTCGATCTTGCCGAAGATCTGGAACAGTGTGTACTTCAAGACCTCGCTGGTGGAGGCCACCTCACTGCCCACGTACTTCACCTGGCTGGCAATGCGCCGCAGCTCCGAGGGTCGCTTCCGGTCCTTGAGCTCGATGTAGGCATGGGAGCCATCGTGGTACTCCACCACGGCCACGCGGATCCGCTTCTGGGAGATGTGCAGACGCTCCATCATGCCCACCACAAAGACTTTCAGCACTTCAAACTCGTCCTCAGACAGCTTGGAGGAGCCATCTAGCAGGAAAACCAGGTCCAGAAGCTTGCTGCAGTAGAAGTCATGGAGAGGTGGCTCTGGGGTGTCCTCCGCATATGGGGTGGTGGAGCCAATGGGGCCTTCCGTGGGGGGCACCACGAGGCCTCCAGGTTCCCTGCAGGCCTCACAGGTGAGGTTGACGCCCTCACAATGACTGCAGTAGGGAGAGAAAACCAGAAATGGTTCAGGAAGGACCTCTGGGCACTTCTCAGCCTTATCTAGAACCATTCCAGCCTTCCCAGAGAATGACCTGCCAGGCCTACCTGAGCTGAGCTCCCAGAGACCACTCCCCTACCCAAGTGGCACATCATTTTTTAACATAGGTCCCCAAATAGCACCCCTACACATGCAGCAAAGGCCTCCCTTTCTTCTAGAAGCCAAAGCTCCAACCCCTCGTAGCACCTGAGGAAGACTCTTTCTTGCTTCTAGGCCATCCACACAGTCCTTCAAAGTCAATGTCTTTTCAACCTACACCTCTAGCAGCATAAATACTTAATTCTAATCCAAACTCTCTCCCAAGTGTCTCCAAAAACAAATATCGCTCTAAAATGTTGATGCTGGCCAAGGCATGTGAATGTCCTATTGAAGATAAATGCTTTACCGCATTTATTGTACCAAAATTTAAGCTGAATAAATGTTGTACCATGTTTAATACACTGGGCCTTAAAAAAAACAGAAAAAAGTGGAATGAAAACATTTTGGAAAGATGAACAAAGATTCAAAATCCCAACTTTATCCCAAAACAAAGTTGGAAATAGTATTCAGGAAGGTCCAAGATGTTAGGGGAAAAGACAGTGGCTCGATCATTCCTCCAACAACCATGTGGTGAGCACCTGTCATGTGCCAGGGAGAGGCTAGGCCCTGCACCGAGCCCCAAGCACATACCCCAAGTCTGTAGCAGGGCCTTTGCCCTCCCATAAATTCCAGCACTACCAGGCCAAGTTTCCAGTCCCTTCTGGTCACTCCTCACCAGTGTCTCAGAAATGGCAAGGTATGCCAGACCACAGGTGAAATCAAGTTGCCCTATGGGAGAGACCCATAGAGGCCAGGACTTTCTCCTATTCTGATGCTCTGCCTTCGAAGTAACTTGCCTTCAGCACCCCCAGTAAAGCCGAGAGGCAGCAGTGCCCTGAGCCCTGAGAAGCGTCCCCTGTGGCTTGCCTCCCAGGTGATGTCCCCAGCCTGCTTTGGAATTATCATCCACAGCTGTCTGAAGCCAAGATATGCACCCTGGTAGATGCCCTTCCCCACGGGCCAGCAGGGGGAGGTTGGGAGAGGGCTCTAAGCTCTCATGCCTGTGTGGCTCAGAACCCCAAGCCAGTGTTGGATTCATCCCCTTCTTTATTCCTTACAGCCTCTGTTTCAACATGGGGAAGGAAGGCAGGCAGGATCTTACTGGAAGTTAATTCCTACTTCCCCGTGGCCCACACGATTTATTGCTTCAATCCTTCGTTAACAACGCATGAGTGACATACTTTCTAGTTTCCTGTGTCTGCTAGAAAATTTACCCCAGGCAGTGTTCCCCCTTGTTTGTACAGATGGCGGCAGCAGGATCTGATTCTGGCAGCTGTGGCCACAGCCCTTCCCCAGAAAATTTAAGTTCTCAAGTTCAAGTTCCCATAAGGCTCTATCAGTGTCAGGGTGTGGTGTTAAACACATCAACGTCTGAATACATGTTCCCTACTTGGGAGCAGAGCTTCAGAAAACTCAGAGCCCACCCTGAGGACTCCTTCTCACCTCCACAAAGGCCAGTTCCCAGAGGCAATCCAAGTGAGAGCCCGGGGTGCAGTGATGAGTGTCTTCCCTCCCAAATATGAAAGTCCCATCCGGGGACCTCGGCTGTGGCCCCAGGGTGTCTATGTCACACGAAGGGGTTAGGGCTCTGAGTAAAGAAGAAATTTGACTTCCAAAGGCACCTGTCCTTGGACTAGATGTGACCTCCAGGGGCAGTAAGAGTACCTCCTTCCTTAAGTGAGAAGAGGCTAAAAACCCCAGCCTCTTAAGAGGTGTTTTCTGGGGAAGCAATGTGGTCTGTTCTTAAAGAAAGAGAGGCAAATTCTAGAAATAAAACAAACTCAACACTCAACTTCTCAATCCACACAGCAGAGTTCTTCCCTGAGCAGGACCCTGAGAAGAGAGTGAAACCCTTCACTTCAAACACCAGGGGGTCTGTTTTACCAAATCTGGCAGTGCTCGGGGTCATCGGGGTTCAAGGTGATCTTCTTTCCTGGGGCCAAGCGACGACCAGCCACCTCACACACAGGACAATCTTCAGGGTCGATGCAAGTCTGCAAAAGCTCGTCCAGGATTTTCCCTGCATGACACATCCCTCGTTAGCAGGCAAAACTTCACCTTTCCCACAAGGAAGACTCAGTTTTAACTTAAGGGGCCCATCCCGGAAGCTGGTTCTTGCCTGCCTCCCCCAAGGGGCACCTCAGCACTTAGGGAGCAACTTTCCCTCTTTGGGCCTTGATTTATCCCTCTGCCACACCGGGCAGGGGTCTTCCTTCACCCTCCCTCACCGCACCCAAGCCTCAGGACAAATGAAATCTTCTCTCCAAGGGTCATTTCACGCCAGCAAAGAATATAGCTGATGACTCCATGTCTGTGCTACCCCCTAGAGTTGCCAGTAGCCACAGGTGACAAGTTAAATTTAAATGTGAATTGACACCAAACAAAACTGAAAATTCAATTCCTCAGACACAGGAGGAACTTTTCCACTTCAGCAGAACTTTCCCATCCTGGCAGAACTTTCTATCAGAAAGTGCTCTCGGTGATAAGCCCATGAATAGGGGTGCCCCAGCACACTGCACAGGAGCTCAACCTGACAAAAGCCTGGCTGGCCTGGCTTGGATGAAAGGCCACCTAGAAGCAGGGCCAGTGGGGCAGGGATGGGGACAGGGCAGCGCTGGGCGAGGCTGAGGACGAGCACGAGGGGGAAGCGCCCTTCCTGAGAGCCCAGCCCAGCCCGCTGGGGCAGGCGCCCTACCTGGAGGGCAGTGTGCATGGCAGCCTTCGACACACTGCACGGGGCACGCCAGCGGCTCGGGGTGCTGGCACGTGGTGGGACAGGCAGGGGCACAGCTGTTAAAGCGCCACTCGCACTCATGCCCATTCTCGTGGAGATTCCTCTCCTCGCAGTTCTGGGCTGTGTAGACAGAACACAATCGGTCTGTGCAACCCGAGAAGCCAGGACTGCACCCAAGTCCCCCAGAGAGATGGTGGTGAGACCCACGGGGGTGATGGCCCTGGGGGAGGCGACGGTGATGACGGGGAACTAAGCAGCATGGCAGTCACCAGGATTCGAGGCCGCCAGGGTTTTGAAGCACCTAACCGGGGGGCGCCTGGGTGGCGCATTCAGTCAGGCATCTGCCTTCAGGTCAGATCATGATCTCAGGGTCCTGGGATCGAGTCCTGGGTCGGGCTCCCTGTTCAGTGGGGAGTTGCTTCTCCCTCTCCCTCTGCCCTTTCCCCTGCTTGCACTCTCTCTCTCAAATAAATAAAATCTTTAAAAAAATAAATAAATAAAGCACCTAACCAGGAACCAAATGGTTCTGAATCAGTTTACCATATAAAAACAATCAGCTGCTCACACTCGAGGAAGAAAGACTCTATAGAAAAGTATGTGTTGCTCATTCACACTGGCAAATACAAAGCATCTAATTAAAGATACTGAATTTAATCACTATATTGACTTCCCTCTTCTCTTCATCGCTGCTCCACCTTCCCCTTCTTCTGGAATTTTTCTACATATTGATGTCTTCAATCGCTGTCCCCCGTCCCTCCTACTCACATCAATGTCCTAACTCCCTTCAGGCCTCGGCCATCCAACCCCAGACAGGCGCTCTGTCTTCTCTCCCACAAAGGAGTCCTCCTGCACCCCCACTTTGAGGTTTTAAAGTCTGAGGGAGGCTACGTGCCACCACAAGGGACATGAGGACTCACGACACAGAGTGGCTGTCCTCCAGGCCACCGCCTTGCCGTGCTGGGCACACACATGGGCGTAGGCAGCAACAGCGTCACAGAAGCAGGCGCAGTCCCCGGGGGACTCACAGGAGCAAGAGTCGTAGATGCAAATGTCCAGGTAGGGCTCAGGGTCCACCTGCAAGGGAGCCTCATGGTGACCTAGTCCTGGGCACTTAGCAACTCTGGCTCTCGGTGGGCGAGAACATTCTGGGGGTCAGGGTAGGGCAATGGGGCCCCGGGTGGAAGGAGACATGCTGGTCAGTGGCCCAAACAGGGAGTGGGTACAGAGGCGTAATTCCCAGCTTCTCATCTGGACTCCAATAAGAAAAGTTGAACACAGGAGTGCTGCTGGCCTTCCACAGAATGTAATATGCCTTAGAATTTTCCAGAACATTCTCTTCGATCCATCTTTCCACATACCTGCTCCACTAGCCAGCCATCCCCATAACCCACTCCTGGCCTCGTGGCTGTTTGGGTGTTTCGACATAAAACAAACAGACATACAAGCTGGTCACCTTCCTCCCTTGCCTCATTCAGCAAAGCGAAGGAGGACACACATTAGGAATGCTCACATTGCCTCGCTGAGGTGCTGTGGTGCTATTCCACTAGACAGCCGGGCTGGCCTGGGCCCCCCTGGACTCTGCCCCCAAGCCCACCCACCCCCCACCCACACTGAACCACAGTAACCACTTCCCACCTCCCCCGCCCCCACACACACAGCTGCCCACACGGGCCTTCTCCAAGGTAGTGGTGATAGGAATGAATCCAGACACTAAGTGGGTCACTGTGTCCAAGACATTCCAGCAACCCTGATTTCCCTGGCCGCCTGGCTCTCGGCATTCCTCCAACTCAGATGCCCAGGGTTTCCACCTAACCGGGCACTTCTGTATACTCTCTGGAGCATCCTCAGGGACTACCAATCAGGGGATGGGAAGAGAAGGAGCGCTGAGGTACAGGAATTCAGCCAGTCGCTCCCACGTGTGGTGCCACAGGGCAGCATGTGTGTATGTGGCTGTGTCCATGTATATATGTAACTAGGTACACGAACCCACACACACACCCACATACATCTGCATGTACAGAGAGAACGTGAGTTCAACTTTGGGGAACTGCTTGTCGCCATTTGAGATAAAGACCCAAAAAGAGGTCATAAAAGGAGGCCTCAAAATCCCTAGAGTCTAGGCCAGAGAAGAGTTTCTGTCAGACAAGAAGCCGGAGCTCAAGGGTTTTGTGAGGGCAGAGGGTGCTCAGGCCAGGCAGGAACAGGAAGATGAAATCCTGGCTTTTGTGTGGGAAACAAGATCATTTGGTGGGGGACAAGCCCTAAGACTGAGGCCAAAAGAGAAGCACTGGCAGGTGCCCAGAAGAGCTACACCTTGCGTGGGAGGAAAAATGATTCACCAGCATCGCCCTCCTCCTACACGGGCCACTATGCTTTCTGTTTCCCAGCCTGAAGCCAAGAAAGGGAGTAAAGAGCTGACGTGATGATATAGATCATTTCCAAGCCTTCAAGGTGGCATCCTCAGTGCGAAGCTCATGCTCCAAGTGCCCGAGCCACAGGGCCAACCCTCTGCACTCTTCTGCCTCCATTTACCCCCCAGCCCTCACCAGCCTGTTGCAGTCCTGGAAAATATCACTGGTGAGGATCCTGCAGGAGGAGTCCACTATCGCCTGCTTCATGATGTTGTTGTGGCAGACAGCAGGAGACGAGTCTAGGGGCACCTGAGGAGCAGGGCAAGAGGACACAGACGGACCTCCAGTCAGTCGACCCAGAAGGATCCAAGAGACCCTCCTGGCCAGCCCTGCCACCTGGCTGTTCATACCACCCCACACCCCACCCCACCCCTCCAGCCCCCATGAGATGGGTGGGGACGTTCTGGGCAGCAGGCCTCGTGGCTCTGGGCCACACGGAGAGCCCAGACATACTTTGCTGGTGCCGGCACACTGCGGGTTCACTTTCCAGGAATTCCCAAAGTCCACCGGGTCCTCTTCCACCTGGAGGCTGCTGCTGGTGAAGTCATTGTTCTGGATGCCATCAAAATTCCCACAAAGGCCACACACCCGCTCCTGACAGACAAGATGAGATCATGAGCATCATAAACCTCAGGGCAAACTCTCTGATTTGGGAAAAGGAGGGCTCCCCGGGGCAACAGGGGGGCAGGCTCATCAGAGAAGGGGCGGCCAGCAGAGGGATGAGGACAGAGACCCAGAAGCAGACCAGGGCAATCGGCAAAGCCAGGTCCCCGCCATGGTCTCTCCCAGGCTTCCTCACGCAGCCCATCTTAAAGCTAAACAAAGGTTATTCACAAAGACGGCAACCCGCCCACATCCCACAGTCCGTCAAGGGCAGAGGTGGAAATCAGGCAGCCTTGGCCCTGGTAGCTCCAGGATAAATCATCTCTCTCCCCAGTAATGCGCTGAGCAGAGAGAAGAGCTGTTTCAACATTATGTCAATGAGAGTGTCCAGGTCCAAAGAGGGAATGTTCTGGTCCTACTTTACTGCGGACAGGCGAGCCCATTATCTGAATGACCGCAGTCTGTCCAGAACAAGCTGGCCAGGATTCTGCCTATACCGAATGCCACCCGGGTCGACATCATATCTCATGTGTCTCCATGTTCACCTCTCATGCGTACAACATGCACGTGTGTGCAGCTACGGGTCCCGAACAAGTCATTACTGAATGAACAGAAACCGTCACATAAGGACTAGGTAAAGAACTAGAAATATCTGGACTGGAAAAGAAACAGTGCAATGCTCTTGAAACATATTTAGAGCCCTGTCTTGGCACAGAGAGATGTGACTTGTTCTATTTCAGATTTGGTTTGGTACAAGGGTGAACTTATTGGGAAACACGTAAGAATGTTCTCACTGTTGAACAAAAGTTCTCATAGCCCCCAGAGTATGGCTCCTGTCCTTGTAAACTACCACTCATCCCAGTCCCTCCTCTCTAGCCACACTGGCCTCCTTGCTCAAACACTCCAAACACCATCCACAGGAGGGCCTTTGCACATGCTATTCCACCTGCCTAAACTCTCTTGTCTGGATATTTATATGACTCACTCCCTCCCTTCCCTGAAGGCTCTGCTATGTCACCTTTGCAGACAGGTCTTATCGGACCAACCAAGCTAAAATAATAGCTCCACTAGAATATGATCTCCACCAGGGTTGTGGTGGGCAACACCATGCCCCCCCCCCAAAGATGTCCAAGTCCTAATCCACACATGGCAAAAGGAACTTTGCAGATGTGATTAGGTTAAGGATCTCAGGATGGAGAGGTGGTCCTGAACAATGTAGGTAGGCTCAGGATAATCACAGGGTCTTACAAGGGGCAGAGGAGGCGTCAGAGTAAGGAGAGTGAGGTGACAGGAGCAGAGAGGGAGATTGGAAGAGGCTGTGCTGTTCGTTTTGAAGATGGAGGATGGGACCACGGGCCAAGGAATGTGGGCAGGCCCCAGAAGCTAGACCAGGCAAAGAAACCGGATTCTCCCCTAAAGCCTCCAGGAGAATGAAGCCCTGCCAACCAGCTTTATACTTTTGACCTCCAGAACCTTAAGATAATAAATTTATGTTGCTGTTTTAAGTCACTAAGTTTGTGGTAGTTTGTTATAGCAGCAACAGGAAACTAAGACAAGTTAAAACATATATATATACACACCCATATATGTACATGTGGGTATGGATGTGTAGATACATATATAGATACATATATGTGTATTTATAATATATATTATACATAATAACAATATCTATATTATATATACACTATATGTGTGTATGTGTGTGTGTACATATATATATATGTATATATGTTTTTTTTCCCTACTTTATCCACAGTGCCCAGAACAGTGCTTGACACATACTAGAACTTAGTAAGGATTTGGTGAATAAACGACTGCATGAATTGTTAATGCTTTCCAAAAAGAGAATGGGTGGCCACAAGAAGTAAGGGCCATGTAGCCTCACCTCAGCGCAGCTGAGATGACCGGTGCTGTCAGATATGCCCCTGAGACTAAATCAGCCACCAGAGTAGACAGAGCACTTGTCCCACACTCATCAGTTAGAAAAACAAAGTCCCAACACGCTGTCAGAACCTGGCCACAAATACCATCACTTTCACAAAAGCAGGGTATCAGCAGTTCTGCAAATAGCTCTCAAACCGGGCTGGTCGATGGCTCGATGGCAAGGCCACACCCCAAAATATTTCGCAGGGTTATCATAATAGTGTACGTGATCGGTTTGCCTCTTCAGGTTAAGAAACCTTAAGAAAAGCTGTTGCCTGATCTTTCGTTTCCTTCTTTTGTGGATATAAACTGCATGCCTAGCAAGGCTAGTCAAGGAACTGTTTGCTGGGTTGGGGGGGTGGGGGGACACCCACCATCTTTCCTACATGAGGCTAACTCAGGAAAACAGCCAAAGCTGACTCCAGGGACCTGGAATCCATGGTCATACTTGTGTCAGGAGGGAGACCGGGCTGGAGGACCACCCACGCTCACCCGCAACGGTGGGCAGGCCAGTGGGCTGAGGAAGGTGCAAACAGTAAGTCACAGACAAGATGAAGAGGAAACAGAAAATCCCCTGACCTGGTATGTCCGCTTCAGGCTCACGGAGATGCTCAGGCGGTGGTCCCAGACCACAGAGAGTGCCTTGCCCAGCAGCAGGATGACATACTGACCCGACTCCACCACCTCAAAGTGGGTCTCATCCTTCATGGGCTTCTTCACATTCACCTGAAGGATGACAAAGCATGAGAACAGGGAGAGTGGAGGGCAGGCAGGAGTAACTGACTCCTCCCTCTACCCCACACCCCTGCCTGCCACCACAGCCCTCCGGAACCACAGGCCGTTTGCCCCACCTGGTCAGAGCATGTCCCTTCCAGGCCAGCACCCTGCCTGGATGTTTCTGGGTCCATTTTGCCTATCACTGGCCAAGAATCCTATGACTAGTGGATGACAGCAGAGGTGGCAGCAAAATCATAATTAGGAGATTGGCCATCTCTGTACCAAAAAATGATTTTTGATACTTGATCATTAAATGCATGTGGTCCCCTAAATTGGTTTTAACATGAATATGATTTGAAGCATCTCTAGGCAATTCATGTAAAAATCTATCCGTTTATATAAATGAGCACTAGACTCTTCCCTTTCCTTCCCCCTTTCCCGCTCCCCAGAGTCCCTGTCACCAGAAGTCACCACTGACAGAACAGGGAGACCATGGCAGAAATCACGGATTTCAGCTTCCAGAAGGACTCTGACCTGAGCCCTTGACTTAGCACAACTGTCGCCAATGCTGAATACTTAGAGCCCATTTCAGCATGTTTGGCTGACTAATTTGTAAAATTGAAGTCATTGCTAAGGGCCTGTCACCCCTTTGCAAGGGTTCTCTCCTTAGTGACATACCACACGCAGAGCTAATCTTAAGTGCGCATCTCCTATTCGATATCACCACGGTCATCCATCCTTTGAAAGAGTCGACACTGCTGACCCACAGTCAATAATGGGGAATTCTCCCCCCAGTCCCCTGAGATCAGTGGTGCATATTTGCAAGAAGGCAGGGATGAGACCGTGGAACAAAATGAAGATACCAGGAGAGGTCTGAGCCCAGAGCCTGGCACTCCCTGGCACTCCACATGCAGATTCTGGGGTTCCACCCAGACCTGTGAGTCAGAATCTCAGGGTGGACTCCAGGGTCAGTATCTTAAGATGCTAGGTGGTTCTTGGGGCGCCTGGGTGGCTCAGTTGGTTAAGCGACTGCCTTCGGCTCAGGTCATGATCCTGGAGTCCTGGGATCGAGTCCCACATCAGGGTCCCAGCTCAGCGGGGAGCCTGCTTCTCCCTCTGACCTTCTCCCCTCTCATGCTGTTTCTCTCTTGCGCGCTCTCTAATACATAAATAACTAAGATGCTAGGTGGTTCTTCTGTGCCCTTCTGAGAACCACTTCATAAACTCTTAGTACACAAGGACTGAATCTCTTTACTTCTCTTTTGAGCTCCCTTAAAAATATTTTATCTGAAAAGAACTGGAAAACATAAGGTAAAAATCCCCCAAAACACCATTACTTCCCAAAATAAATGTTTATGTGTGTTACATATAATGTATACATATATATTTGTGTATATGTCATTTAGGTGTATATATATGATGTGTATATTTGTATATATATTATATATGTACAAATTACATGTGCACATGTGTGTATATGTACATATGTATATATGATATACACGTATGTGATAGATGTATAGATATGTAGATATGATAGATATGTATGTGTATATGTGATCTATGTTTATATTATATATGTGTATATGGTGTATGATATATGTATACATGCTATTTATATATTATATATGTATGTGTATACATATGTACATATATATTACATGTGTACATGTATACGTGTATACACGTATGTGATATATATGTATGTTAAATATGCACATGTGTGTATGAATGTGTGTATATTGTATATGTATGTGCATATGTGGATATGATATATATGTATTATGTGTATGGTACATACACATGTGTGTATATGTACACATGTATGTATGATATGTGTATATCGTGTGTACACATGGGTGCGTGTGTATATTGGTATGTGTATATATAATATGTGTGTATGTTTATATCTATATATTTAATATACAGATACCTATATGAAAGGGAAAGGCCTCCTGCCCTCCAATCCCCACTCCACCCTCCAGAGGTAAGCACTATTCTTTGGCAGATATAGTTACACGTTCTTTTCCACACACATCTCCGCACTTCATTTTATTAAAATGGGATTGCATTATCCATAGTCATCTGCAACTTGTTCTTCTCATAGATTATGTCAAGGTCACATGATACAGCTCTACCTCACGCTCTTTAATGGCTGTACAATATCCCATCACACAAGTTCTAAACAATGCTTGATACCTGCTCTTAATCAGCTGACAGAAGAACAAAGGGGGTATGAGGGTGGAGGGGATAAGGCTGGCACTCACCTCCCCATCAAACAGTTCAATCTCTCCTCCTTCCACCAGGATGGTGACCCGCTTCTTGCATTTCACTGAAGGGTAGCTGCACCCTTCGTTCCCCACCAGGATCCGGAAGGTCCCAGGATTACTGTCACAGTAATCCTGGAGAAAGGGGGTGCCAGGAGAGAAATATTATCTCTGCTACCTCTCCCCAGATCAGAAGATGGATATCTCACCATCTCAGACCATTGAAGGATACGTGTTAAAGGATGTTACCATTCCATGCACATGTGTGTGTGCGTGCATGTGTGACAGAGGGACAGAGAGAATGAAATTGAGAGAAAGGGAAAGAGAACGAGATGGGGGTGGGGAGAGAACGGACAGGTTTATCATCTTCAGCCATTACATATGAACCAGAATGCAAGCACGAGGAAGAGAAGGAGGGAGAGAGGGAGAGAGGGAAATGGCCTGTGGTATGCTTTGCTGAACATATCAGCCTAAAGGCCCCTACCTAGAACCTGTTAGTGCTTAGTCTTACCCAGCTAACTAGGACAGTTTGACCACATTGGCACTTTGTGGCTCTCAATTCTGATTGAATCCCTCTGGACTGCTGGCCCAGAAATGTAACCAAAGGTCATTTGACACAGCTCCATGGTGCTGAGCTACCACCTCTGGTTGGGAATAGAGGATGAAGAAGTGCTGGTCCCTTGCTGGTCAGTTGCATAGAAAATTAAGGAAGGAGGGACACATTTCTAGCAAATATCTCCCCATGGTGACTATTGCTGTGGTATGACAGGAGAAAAAAAAAGACACTCAGGAAAAGGTGTGAGCCTTGGTTCTGCCACTTATTAGATACATTGAGCAAGTCACTTACCTCTTTGACACCCCCCCACACACACACATACACATGCACACACACAATCTGCCCCTCTAAAAGACAGAATCAGCCAATACTGGGATTAAGTTAAATGGGTCTGTGTTGAGTTAATGGGATTGTGGAGGGTAAATGAGGGAACAAAGATACAGGTGCTTTATACATGGTTCTTGTCATCAGCTGAGATTTGGCTAAAAAAGAGTCAAGTCAGGGCGCCTGGGTGGCTCAGTTGTTAAGCATCCGCCTTCAGCTCAGGTCATGATCCCAGGGTCCTGGGATCGAGCCCCACATCGGGCTCCCTGCTGAGCGGGAAGCCTGCTTCTCCCTCTACCACTCCCCCTGCTTGTGTTCCTGCTCTCGCTATCTCTCTCTGTCAAATAAATAAATAAAATCTTAAAAAAAAAAAAAGAGTCAAGTCTTGATAAGGAAGAAGGGAGAAAAGGGAGGATCCAGGACAAAGTATCAGAAGGGACAAAAGGACTAGCTATGAAGGAAAACAAGCAACCCACAAAGAAGCACAATTTGAAAGGGACTGTAAAACTGGCCCACTTGGGAAAGCTTTGTCTGGGCGGGGGAAAAGCTGGGGAGCAGTAGATCTGGCCAGTTACTTCTCATGGCACTGAATTAGTCATGTTTTCTGGATGCTCATATTTGAAATTGGCTGGGTGGTTGAGTTCTAGGGCTGGTGTACCTCATCTTTTGCTACCAAGGTTGGGAGGCAGATAATCAAAAGACGGGCTGCCATATATAATCTGCAGCAAAGTTCCAGAGCAGAATACATGCCAGGTTCATAAGTGTCAGTAAAACCATGTCATGATGTACATGCCCTGTGTCCCCAATACACTGCATGCCTCTCTGGGGCCACACTGGGGCATGGGAGATAGAGGCTCGGTTAGTTGGTGTTATTGCTCACTCCCAGCATGCTCTGCGCACAGCGCCTCAGTGCTGCTGCCCGTTCCGCCCCACTCCCAGCATGCTCTGTGCAAGCTGCTCGCGCTACTGCTGGTTCCGCCCCCCTCCCAGCATGCTCTGCAGACATGCATGCTCAGGCACCCTCACTGCCTGACTCATGGGGCCCCACAGGTCTGTCTCTGGGGCTGAGGCTCCTAGGGGTTTGTGGTCCTCCCTTTAGACCACGCCAAGCTCCTCCCGCTCCTCCCGAGAATGGAGACAGAGAGACCACATTTGTTTAAAGCTTCACAGTCAAGTTGTCTCATCCCTCATGAGAAAAGCACTCATACCTCCTTGCTTACTCACTTTGGTGTCAACCAGCAAGAGGAGCTTACAGGAGTCCACACGGTGGAGAGAGGGAGGTAGAGGGGCCGGTGCCCTCACTCACCAGCTAGGATTTCCTGGGCAATGTGACTTTTCTGTACCCTGCCCCCCTTCTGAACGGCACTAGGTTGGAAATGGAAATGGCGGACAATAGGATCATAGGGCAGGAAGCCGACTCCAGAGATTATTCCAACTGTCCTGTCCTGGGCCGCTCACCAGGGCACTAGCAGTGAGGGTGACAGGGCTCGGTCTAGCCTGGGCTCCCCTTCCCACTGTGCGTCCTGACAGGCTGTGTCTGCCAGAAGGAACCGATGCGTTTTTCTAACTCCATGTGGGTGCTAACTTGGGCTGGTGGTTGCCTTGCCCCCACACCCATCCCAGTCAACAAAGGAGCTTCTGCCCTGTCCTCGTGAGTCTCCAGGTCAGCTGAAGGAAAATGGACCATTGCTCTGAGTTTCAGGCCCCTCTTTTATGGGCTGGAAAATTGCTGCAGTAGAAATCAGCCCCGGGACTCTTTCTATAGACAGAACAGCAGAGTCTGACCCAGAAACCCCCAAAGGGCAGTCAGCAGCTCCTGGCCCCTCCGAGAGACAGACAGCATCCCCGCCCTCCCTCACTCTCACCTGCACCAGGACGTACTGGCACTCCCCGGGGAACAGGTATTTGAGCCCGTCGAAGGTGAAGTAGTGGGCCACGCCGATGGCAGAGCACGTGGCGTCACACACGTGGCCCGTGCAGTTCCACTTCCGGTCCCGACAGACGCTAGGAACAGTAACGGCCAGGATGACCAGCGGGGTACTGTGGCGTGGGGGGCTCTTTGGGGCATTGGGGAACGAGAGACAATGAAGGAACAGATTGCTGTGGGGTGCCACCCAACCCTCCAGGAAGCCTCTAGAAGTGAAGGACCTGCGGGGTGTGGAGGTGGGAAGGCAGTCTGCAGTCATAAACGGTCACATTTTTAGAGCGCAAGGCCAAGGAGGAGAGAGGGAAGCCATGCTGCTCTCCTGTTACAAGGGGAAAAGTGAAGCAAAGAAGCAAACAGGTCCCCCAAGGGGATCGGGTAGCCAGGGGAAGAAGCCCAGATGCTCTGAGGACCCCCTGCTATGAATTTGCTTGAAGTTCAGCCTCCCTGGAAGTTGCTGAGAATGGCCATGGCCATGGGATCTCTACAGAACAGAGACACTGAGGTTGAGAGCCCTCTGAGGTGAACGGGGAGAACTAGACACAACAGAAGGAAAGTTCTGAGCTGGGAAAACAGTGATCAACCATCAACTTCTGCCAGGAGAGGTTTTGTGTGTACATAGCTCTGTTTAAATCTACAGTTATTTGCTCACTGCCACAGCACACATCCCCCACCACCCTGTAACCAGAGCTGACATCAGGAAGCCCATTCTGTGCATCAGAGGTGGTAAGCTCAGACCTCAGGCCCGAGAGACAGCTAAGCCCCTTCCAGGTGCTAGCCCTTCCCGCCTCTGTCCACGTGGGCCTTCCCCTGAAGCTGCGCACAGCCCAGAAGTCATGGCATGATGAGTGAGCCAGTGAAGGGTGGCCACAGAGAAGAAGAAAACCAGCCTCCCTCAGAAGGTCTTTTTTGAACCATGCCATTACAAGGACAGTTGCAGTATGCTTAGAGGACAGTATGAGTCCAGAGAGGGACCTTCCAAACCCCATGCCTTTTGGCAGCTTGTTCACACATGCAATGACCCATATGGGCCAAGGTCCTGCTTGGAAACACTACTCTCCGGGAGAATGTCTATGCAGGGTCAGCACAGGAGAGGACACAGATTCTCCTCCACTTTACAGATAGAGAAACAGTGGCACAGAGAAAAGGAAAAAGAATAACCATGTTCCCCCAGGGTGCTGGAGGCAAGTGCCAGAGGCCCTGTGGCTGTGTCGGTTCCCGCGTCCCCACTCCCGCTCACCCCACCCCAATGGCTCGGTCCCCAGGCAAGCCTCTCCCGGGGGCTCACCAAGTGTTGCAGTCAATTTTCACAGTTTCTCCTGGGGCATACTCTCTGCCTTGGTGGAAGCAGGGACACCTTTCCAGCGCCACACACTTGTTCTCATGTCGGACCTAAGGGAAAGGAAGCCAAATGTCTTGGGGGCCATAGTGAGTGATCTAAAGCCCTGCTAGGAAGACAGCCTCGGCACAGGCCAGGCCAGGGAACCCACGTGCAGGCTGGGGCTCAGCAAACATGCGCATCCATCCACACGGACCTCCCCCCACCCTGTCGCCGCTCAGCTGGAGACACTCCGACCACCGTCTGCCTTCATACCCTGCTGGGACCGTGGTGGAGACTGGTAATCTATGGCCAAAGCCCCTGGAATGTGCATATCTTAGACGCAGTAATTCCACGCAGAGGATTTCTCCAAAGGAAATAGACTTAGGGACAAAGGTTAACGTAGAATCATTTATCATTGCAAAAAATGGAAACAACCAAGTGTTTGACAATAGGAAAATGATGAACTCCATTAAGGAATCGCCAGGTAACGGTGTGCTCTGGAGCTATTGGAAAGGCCCTTTGGAAGACTCTTAAATGCTGTGAGAGATACTGATGCTGTTCATTTTTCAAACAGGGAAAACTGTACATACATATGGTCCCAATTATAAACCTACATATATATATATATATATATGAAAACTATACACACACACACATATATATATGTATGTCAAAAAAAGACTAGAAGGAAATACAGAAGTTCCATCCAAATCCAAATCCAAGCGATAGAGGAATAGGGGAATTTTATTTTCTTCTTTGGTTTTTAAAGTTTTTTTCCCAAATGTTCATCAATGAGCCTGTATTATGTTTACAACAGAAAAGATGGATGATATATTTAATAAAATTTAAATGCATTTAATATGCTGGGGGTGAAGGCTGCCTACTGGCCATAGACAGGGATGGACCAAAACCAGAGTCTGGGGGCTTGTTCAAGTCCGCAAGCCCGCTCCTCACCCAGTCCCCCGAGATTCTGACACCCTCCACGGGGGTATGCTCTGCTTCCCTGCCCTCCGCCCACAAAGAAAGCACTATGTGAGCATGTTATACTCTTCAGGTCTGTAGGGCCCAGGGGGACAAAAGAAGTAAGACCCACTGGCCCCAATGGGCTCCGGAAGAGCTGTCCAAACCCACTCTGACCCCAGTGTGTAGACATGCTTCTGTCCCAGCCCCAGGAGGCAGCCCTGGACATCTGCTCTGGCATGGCCTAATATAGGTGATTGAAAAGAACCCTGGGTCACCCTCAGGTGGAGGGACCATGACACTTTGGTGCCAGAGCTACCTAAGGGGTGAGAAGCTCCTGGTATGTCAGGATCCGTTTGCTCCAGTCACTACTCAGACAAGCCTGAGTTCCCAGGACTTGGAACCAGACAAAGTCCTGGGGACAGGGCAGTCTTGGCCTGAACAAAGGGCTTTTGTGTCAGGGACCAGAGGCTAAAGTAGTGTGTGTGTGTGTGTGTGTGTGTGTGTGTGTGTGTGTGTGTGTGTTGGGAAGGGATGGGAAGAATAGCCTCCATTGCTTAACCACCACCTTCACCCAACCCTAAGTCCTCAACACCTAAGTCAAGGGGGAGGGTTGGAGCACAGACAATGAGGAAGAGGCAGGTCTGCCATGTCCCATTCTCAGAAGACAATGAGCTTAGGCGCCCAGTAGGGAAGATGGCAGCTTGGGAGGCACAGGGAGGGGGCGACCAATGTCTTTCTATCACAGCCTTCATAAGCTGTCACAATTAGGGTTCATTCCCACATATCCATCCCTCTCCCCCAAGATTCATCTGCTCTGACTTAAGTCCAGGGCCTGCCACCTAGTGGCTACTCTAAGAATGACCGATGCATCTGCTGGGGAAGCTCAGCGAGCTCTCCAACACCCACACCTACCACCGATGGACACCAGACAATAAGTCTCCTTATTGGAAACATTATGTGAGACAAAAGTGATGCACAGGGATGGATTCCAGGAGACAGAGTCCTGCTCGCCTCACCTCACCTCACCTTAGCTCACCTCAGCTCACCTCAGCAGAACATGAGCTACCCCTTCTCCTTCGAGCAGGCTGAGTGGAGGCTCCCACACCTCTTGGTCTGCATGCTGGCTGTTTTTACCTCTCTCCAGGATATTCAGCCCGTTGACAAAAAGTCCTGCACACCCATGGCTCAGGTGGCCCTCCCCCAGCCCAGGGGTGAGTCCCAACCCCACTCCAGTGGACATAAACTTCAATCCCAGCTTGGTCATGAGATAATGCCACCACTGAGCAGCTCCCATTTCCTCCTCCTGCGCTCTCACTGACAAACCACATGGCTCCTTTCTGCCCTGACTCACTGATGGATTACAGTATTAAAATAGGACCTTGGTACTGGAGGAGGACTGCTATAGACAACAGGGGTGTGGAGTTAGTTCCACAAGTGACAGCTAGAGAGGGGACAAAGCATAACCTTAAAAGGAAAGAAGAGGGTTTCCAGGCCTCACCTCAGTCCTGGCTCCGACTTGGGAGAGAAGATCAAATAACACCAGCCCAGCCAAAAACACCCAGAGAGCCCTAAAGCATTAAAAAAAAATCCCTGGAGATAGAAAAATAAAAGCACAACACAGGGGATGAACAGGATCTAGATGAGGACTGGGCGGACATGTAGGGTAAGCCAGGATAGCAGTCCCCAACTGGGAAACGTCGCTTGAACATCATGTTCAAAATGAAGAGAACCATCTCTGCCTAGTGTTTGTTCCTTTGGGACACCAGAAGAATAAGATAAAGTTAACAAATGCCCTTCCAAGACTTTGGAAGAAAATAGGCAGAAATCGTTGTCACTATTCATCAACCTGGGACATCCTGAGGAAGAATGGTTCATGCCAAGAACATGGTACTAGGTCTTGGACAGCTTCAAGAAAAATTATGAAGTAGAAAAAAATTGGTTTTGTTACTCTTCTGTGAAAAGGCCCCATCCCCGCCCCCCGCCAGCCCCCTTGCATGAACACCATACTGACCCATTCTCCAAAATCTTTTTTGCCTTCCAACTATCCTTTGTTCGTTCTCCCTATCCCATCAATACTTCCAGCTCAACACAGCTGATTTCAACTAAATGTTTGTTAAGGAGGAAAGAATCTGATTCAATAATTCATACTAAGGGGTGAATGACTTCCTATGAGGATTTATAAGTCTGTAAGCTTTCTAAAACTCCTGTTAACCAAAATGAATTTATGCTTATTATATGTCAGTAAATCTGATTAGGTGACCAATCATATAAGGAGTCAGATATTTTTGAGACAGAAAGGTTTTTGGGCCTTTTAAAATTACATCTCATAGGATTTACAGTGCCCACATGTGAGGCCCACCCTGGATGGGCCCCAGAGCCCCAAACTCCCCATTTCAAAAAAGCAATGCCAAAGTCTTTTTACTCTTCATATTGGGTCAGTGAGAAAACCAGGCATCAAAGGACCAGAGAGATGAACATGTTTCCCAACTGCCAAGGGCTTCCTCATAGCAGCTGAACTAGGTACCAGCTAGGAAAGTGTCACTACTAGATTTAGGAGGGTAAGTGAGCATCCCCCAAACAGGGGTGCCACACTTTCCAAGACCACCTCAGTGGAGGGAGGGAGGCAAATAGGGCTGAAGGAGCCCAGTCGGACTCAGGAAACCAGGATTTCCACTATAGAACTATGTAGCCTTGGTTCTGGTGGTTCTGGTTCCTGTCTTTCCTCAGACTCCCGTGTGATAGAAAGGGCAGAAATCATGAGTCTTTAGGGCTTCTCACTTCCCCACTGGATACTGTTCCTGAAGAGAATTAACAGGGTGGCTGGAATGAGTGAGCTGGACAGTGGGTTGTGCTTTGCTGTCACCTCGTGGTGAAAGTGGGTAATAGTCTAACAAAGGCAAATTCACTCAATTTTTGAACTAAAGAAAAAGATAGAAATTTTTCTAATACAACCCCCTTATTTGTTTGATCTTATGGGCCTCCGAATGTGGACACTGAGGTCTTAAAATTGCTCCCAGTGTGTGCTGATTTCCTATAGCATCTCTCCGTTCATAATATGATTCATAGTTTTTCTCCCCAAGCTTCTAACAGCGGTCATCAAAGTACCACTTATTAAAGCAACTTCCATGGCCCCGCCACTGTCACCGCCAGTCCTCCCAACCGCCCTCCTAACCCAGTTTTACAGGTGAGAAAAATCAGACTCAAAGATTGTAAATGACTTGCCACTCTGTTAAGTAAAAGTCAGGAGCCAGGATTCACACCCGGAAGGACGGGACTTCAAGTCAGTGCCTTTTCCACGCAGCCTCTCCACCAACAGTTTATCAGGGAGGGCGGCACTGGCCACATATCGAAGGCATCCCTCTGACTTTGTTCCATGCAAAGAGACCTCTGCACCAGCGGAAGGAGCAGATGAAGTGGCCAGGAAACCCCATCTCTAAGCAGGTGCCAAGCCTGGCACAAACTGCAAAGAGGAGGGACCCCCAATCCATTCCCAACATTTTCAGACAGTTGCTGCTGGCCTTACAGTAGATGCTGAGTGATGCCTTGTACAGGGAGAGGCGGTCTTCAACCGAGAGCAGCACTGCTCAAAGCGTGGTCCCCGGCCAGTGCCGGTCTGTGATGATGTGAGTACGTAAAAGGAGTAGGTGCTGGGACAATCATACGGCAATTGGCCTGAGTAATACATCACGTCTGAATCTAATAAAAATGGGGGGGGGGGCTCATATTTTGTATGTCCTTGCTTTTTGTTTCCTTTTTTTCTGATCATTTGTTTCTATTGTATTTACAAAAGCATTGGTCCACGACAGATCGAAAATGTAAGAAAACAGGTCCTTCACGGATCTCTCCTGTGGACAGGAGGAGGTCGGCAAAGCCTCTAAGACTGAGCCTTGGTTATTTACGAAAAGAATTAAAGCTATCCCTATGATTCTGTAAGCACTTTCACCTACAACCCCTTTGGGCCCGCAGCCAACGCGTGATGAAGACAGAACGAGAATTATGTGCCCACGTCACAGATAAGGCAACTGAGGCTCAGAAAAAGAACGAACGCTCACCCAAGGGTGAGTGAAGCCTGAACAGAGAGCTCGGCCCCCTACCCTGTTCCTACTCAAGTGCTCTTTCTGCTCCCCTAGATCTGGCCCCTGCTCAAGTGCACAGAATGAAGAATCCCCGACCTCTTCCCCCAAACCCTCGGTCCCGTGCCACATCCTCACACCTCTCCCTGGGGACAGGCCGCACAGAGAAACACCCCTGGGTAGGATGTCTACACCGCGGGCCCAAACAGCTCCTTTGTCTTTGCGTTGCGGCCAGGAATACGTGTCTGGTGCAGCAGCCTGCACGCTGCGCACCTCATAAATCACGGACTTCTCTGCTCTGCTGAATCTGGCCTCAACAATTTGCACCTCCATCGGCATCCTAATGAACCAGTTGTGAAAAGAACCCAAGCTCTTACACTCTGACCTTTTGAGCTTAGAATCCCCTGCGGTTGAGGTTAGAGTCATCTCGTCGTATGACAGATACCTAAAGACTGTCCTCAGAGTGCGCGCCAGGCACTTTGGGAATGCCAGGGAGCTCCTGATGGTGTGCCCACATCCTATGCGTGAGGTCTCACTCTCCACTGGGGATTTGGGACTGTGATGCAGCTGTTGTGGTTATTATCTAAGATGATCTGTTCTGTTTACTTCATTGGAAAAAAAAAAAAAAAGGTTTATCTAAGAGTCTCTGATGCTGACATAATCCCCTGAGTGATGCCCCTTTTCTTGCCAGAGGCTTCTCTGGTGTCTGGAGAATTTCTCCTCCGGGTACAGTGAAGGGACAGTCAAATAAGAGGCCCTCGGGGTAAAAAGAGCAATACAGAAGCTTCCTCTCCCCCATCCTATTTCTTGCCCCTAGCCAGCTCTGAGTCTGTCCTCCTCAGTTAGCCTCCTTGAATGGCCCCCTCCTGCAAAGGCACCAAACAAGACCTTCCAGGTGGGGGTGCTCCCAGGCCAATCTCTAGCTCCCCCATTAGAAAAGACAGTTCAGAATTGTCAGAGACTAAGGCAAAGGGGAAGACCCCAGGGAGAGTGAACAGCTAGTCTCTCTGTCTTGGAGGAGGGCTGGAGGGAAAGGAGATAAATCACGTGCCCTGCACACACCCCAACGCACAGCCTGCCTGAGGGCCGCTGGTGATGGGTCCCAGTTCCCTCTGCAGGATATTGGCAGCTCCCATGGCCCAGGACCCTGCCCCTCAAGCCAAGGCCTGGGCATCACTCACGCCCTGTACAGTCATATAGGAGAGCCATCCTGCCCCCTCCCGTTTTGGCCTCTACAACTCCTGCCCCAGCCCCACACTACTCATTTTGGGTGCTGGGGAATCAGACTCAAGGAAAGCAAGAAGACATGATGCTTTTGAAAGAGAAAAACCCAGAAGTTACAACCTTCAGGGTGACAAGAATAACCTGTGTATGCAGTCGTCCCTCCCCCTCATCCACAGGGATACATTCCAACACCCCCAGTAGATGCTTAAAATCACAGATAGGACCAAGCCCCACATATACTGTTTTTTTCCCTATACACCCATTCCTATGATAAAGTTTAATTTGTAAATCAAGCACGTAAGAGATTAACAGCAATAACTAAAAATAAAACAATTATAACACTATACCGTAAGAAAAGGGATATGGATGTGGTCTCTCTAAGTATCTTACTCTACCCGCTCACCCTTCTCCTTCTGGTGATGATGTGAGAGGATAAAATGCCTTCGTGATGAGGCAAAGTGAGAGGAATGGTGCAGACACTGGGACAAAGCGTTAGGCTACTTCAGGCACCTGCTTCTGGACCCTCGTTGACGGTGGGTAGCTTTCACTGCGGGCAGGGGGACGACCGTAATACATGTGTACAAAACTGGCCCACATGCAGGCTTGGGAGGGAGGTAAGGAGCCTGGGCCCCGTGCCAGCAGCCATCTAGAACCAGGTGGTAGAAACGCAGCATGCCTTGGACGATGCAAGGCATCCCGGGAACTGCTAGCCACAGGTTGTGTGTTAAGAGCTGGCCAGGACCTTGTGACTCACTTCACAGATGAGGAAAACCAGACTCGATGAGGGGAAGAGACTGGGGCTGGTCCTTGCTGGTGAAGTGGCAGCAACATCAACATCTTCTCTTGCAATAGAAAGTTCTACGCATATATGCAAATAATATGCAAATACATGTGCGCTGTCTCCTCTTCATAGGGGGAATGCAGCAGCCCTTGGGAAAATTCCAAGGGAAATACCTGTTTTCACACGTAAGTATTTTCTGGAAATACTCGCTTTGCTTCCTGCGGCACCTCTGTGCACAAAGTTCCGGTGTTTTTGTCGGATTTCATCAGGATGGACTCCAGACACTTTCCCACCATCTCTCTTCCCGGCTGTGGTGGCTGAGTCAGCCACAGAAGACTGGAAGAAGTCCCCCACCCCTGCCCCCATCACCACCTTTGCCCCATTACCATTCTTGCTCAGCTCCTGTTTCTTCCTCTCTCTGCTCCCAAGCCACCTCCCCCCTGCTTAGCCCGCAGGGAAATGCAAGGCTGCCCACCCTCTGTGGCTCCGGTGGCTTACCATCCCCGGGGGGCAGATGGCTTACCATCCCCGGGGGGCAGAGGCAGCCGGAGACGCAGCCTGTGCTCATGCACTGCAGGTCATAGTTCTGGCAAGTTTTGGCACACTCGAGCCCTTCAGCTCTTGGGTTATCAGTGGGGCACACCAACTTGACCATGGGGGGCCGGCAGGACAGGCTCCTTTTGCCTTGGAGGTAGAAGAAAGTAGAAGAGTCAATGCATCTCCCGTCCACACTGTCCTTGGTCCCCGCCCCCCCCACCAGAGCAGCCACTCACTTCCAGAGACCCAGCCACCACTCCCTGGGATCAGGTGTTCCAGCAGGCTTGGCCCTGAGCCAGGATCCCCCGGTGAGACTGGATGGCCGCCTCATCTACTCATCTGAGCCCCTGACCTTTGCCTACGTTGAAGGCATCCCTCCTGCCCTCTGCATCCCCATGTCAGCGCACTCCTCATTCCCCTTGAACCTACCGCAGCAGGTTGCATTAAATCAGGATGTACTGTGGAAATGTCCAGACCTAGGCTTTAAAGGACCTGTGTTTGGGTGCTAAAAAGGAACTTTTGTGGGCCCCAGCTGGACCGTTCATAAAATGGTCACAACTAATTTAGCCACAAAATCTTTAATGGGGACTTTGCTTCCATGTCATCCTCTGCCCAGCCACTGGCCACTCCATTTCTTCTGTTTAAATTTGCTACACTCTGTCTCTACACTCCTCCCTGCCCTCTCCGCTTTGTCATCCTCCATCTGATCACCTCTAATGCTACCTTCTGATGTACTATTTTTTTTAAAGATTTTATTTATTTATTTGACAGAGAAAGAGAGAAAGAGTTCACAAGCAGGGGGAGAGACAGAGGAAGAGGGAGAAGCAGACTTCCCGCTGAGCAGGGAGCCCCATGTGGGGTCTGATCCCAGGACCCTGGGATCATGACCCGAGCCGAAGGCAGACACTTAACTGACTGAGCCACCCAGGCGCCCCTCTGATGTACTATTTAATTATTTGTTGATTGCCCACCACCCCCACTAGAATACCAGAATATATGTTCCATGAAAGCAGGGGTTTTTTAAAGATTTTATTTATTTATTAGAGAGAGAGAGAGCACAAGCAGGAGGAGAAGCAGAGGGAGAAGCAGCCTCCCCGCTGAGCAGGGGGACGTGGGGCTCGATCCCAGGACTCTGAGACCATGACCTGAGCCGAAGGCAGACACTTAACCGACTGAGCCACCCAGGCACCCTGAAAGCAGGGGTTTTGTCTCCTTTGTACATGGATGTATCCTATTTCCTGACAGTTGGTGGGTAACAATGACTGAATAAATGATGACAGGAGGATTGCTACAGCACTTTCCTTTCAAAAACCCAGATGCACCTCACAGCATTTATATCTGACTATACAGAGCACTTACTATCTCCTGTGGACAAGTTCCAGCCTTACTTTTAAACAGAAACTTTTGTTAGGAAGCTGAAACCCTAAAAGACTAAGTGGACCTTCCAAACTGCACAAAATTCTAGGAGCTTCCTGACATAAATAAATAAATAAAGCATCTTCCAGGGACTATAGGCCAGAAAACAGCCAAGAGGGTGGTGACACAAGCAACCGTCGGAGAGGGGGACAGAAGGACTTAGTGACCCTCAGGTCCGCTGTGGACTGAATGTCCTGCCCCCTCAAAATTCACGTGTTGACCCTAAAGGTAGTGGTGATAGGAAGCGAGCCCTTTGGGAAGTGATGGGGGCCCTGAGGGTAGAGCCCTCACAGATGGGATTCATGCCCTGATGAAGAGAGCCCACCGAGCTGCGCAGCCCCTCTTGCCCTATGAGGACACGAGAAGTCTGCAACCCTCACCGGGACCCTGCTAGCACCTTGACCTTGGACTTCCAGCCTCCATAACTGTGAGAAGTGCATTTACAAGACAAATACAGAAATACAGAAATCTGTATTTCTCACACTTAAACCACCTAGTCTGCAGTATTTTGCTATGGCAGCCTGAAAGAAAGAGACAAGGTTGCAAGTTCTGATTTCAACTTCTGAGCCACCCACGTGCTTGGGATCTTGCCCCAGCTCAAGGCTGAGAGATACTCCCCAAGCAGTCACACGGGGCATTCTGACTTCTCTCTCAGGGCAAACTGGAGAACACACAGAGCACACACCTGGGTCACTTGGAAAGATGGGGTCTTGAGGGAAGAGAAAGGCAGAGAGAGGTGGTCAAGCTGGAGGTTGAAAATAGCCCATGTATCTGTCTAAAATCATCCCTCCTCCTCTACTGGGATAGTCTTTTCTAAGCAAGTCTCCATCTGGAAGCCAATTAGTTCTCCCTGATCATAAACGTGAATATGGTCCCACCAGTGCCAGGCCAGCCCCTTCTCCCTTCTGTGCCTTGTCCTTAAACAGTGTAGCAACTATTAGGACCTTCAAACTGAGAACAAAGGGTCCAAGATCCCTGCATTCAAATCCATCTTAAAAGCTTTCTAAACAGGTGTCCTTGTCATTAAAGACCTAAATGTGAGACCTGAAACCATAAAAATTCTAGAAGAGAGCACAGGCAGTAATCTCTCTGACATCGGCTGTAGCAACTTTTTTCTAGAAACAAAAGTTAAAATGACCTATTGGGACTACATCAAAATAAAAAGCTTCTGCACAGTGCAGGAAACAATCAACAAAACTAAAAGGCAACCTACTGGAATGGGAGAAGATATTTGCAAATGACATATCTGATGAAGGGTTAGTATCCAAAATATATAAAGAACTTACACAACTCAACACCCAAGAAACAAATAATCCAATTAAAATATGGGCAGAAGACATGAACAGACATTTCTCCAAAGAAGACATCCAGATGGCCAACACACACATGAAAAGATGCTCAACATCACTCATCATCAGGGAAATGCAAATCAAAACTACAATGAGATATCACCTCACATCTGTCAGAATGGCTAAAATGAACAACACAAGAAACAACAAGTGTTGGTGAGGATGCAGAAAAAGGGGAACCCTCTTGCACTGTTGGTGGGAATGCAAACTGGTGCAGCCACTCTGGAAAACAGTGTGGAGGTGCCTCAAAAAAATTAAAAATAGAATTACCAATAATTCCAATAATTCCACTACTTGGTATTTACCCAATGAAGATAAAAACACTACTTCAGAAAGATGCATGTACCCCTATATTTACTGTAGCATTATTTACAGTAACCCCCCTTTTGGAAGCAGCCCAAGTATCCATCGACAGATGAATGGATAAAGATGTGGTATATATATATATACAATGGAATATTATCCAGTCATAAAAAGAATGAAATCTGGCCATTTGCAACAACATGGATGGAGCTAGAGAGTATAATGTTAAGCAAAATCAGTCAGAGAAAGACAAATACCATATGATTTCATTCATATGTGGAATTTAAGAAACAAAACAAAGTAGCAAAGGGGAAGAAGAGAGAGAGAGATAGAAACTAAGAAACAGACTCAACTCTAGGGAACAAACCTCTGGTTACCAGAGTGGAGGTGGGTGGGAACACGGGGGGAAATAGGGGATGAGGATTAAAGAGTGCACTTATCATGATGAATAAGAATAAATTAAAATGATTAGATAGATGATAGATGATAGATCGATAGATAGATGATAGATAGATAGATAGATAGATAGATAGATAGATAGATAGATAGATATCCTTGTCAGAATGTCCCTGGGTAAAAAGAAGCCAAGGAAGGAGGGTGGTCTTCACTACAATCAAGGCGACCAACTTACAGCTGCTCACTAGGTTAAGGTCACCGTGGGCAAAACGGAAGTCCCACTGAGTCCATCTTGCAGATAACTGAATCTTTTCCCCTAAAATCCTCCTTGCCTCAAAAATTTGGATATACACATGCAAAGGCACATCAAGGCCTGATAGTCACACAAAACAACATTGTATCAGTCGCCACACGCGCCCGAACGCATGCGCACACGGACATGGGCCAGAGCAGCTCAGCGGGGAGGTGGGGAGCCCTTCCGGGGGCAGTACTCACTGCGGTGAGACAGGGGACTGCTGAGCACGGTGTTGGGCAGCAGGCTGCCTGGGGCTCCGCTCGTGGTGCAGTGCATGAAGCCATCCTCACAGTAACTGCAGAGGGGAAGGTCAGAGGCCAGCTTTGCAAGAGCAGCGACCCTGGAACCCTGGCCGGCTCCTTCTCCTCACCTCCCGCTCACCCTCTGCCCCCTCCAACTTGGGCAGTCTCATAACGCGTTGGAAATGCAGCCTGCTGAGGCTCCCAGTGGCTTCCATGTTACCAAACCTAATGGAATGTCTTCAGTTCTTTCCTTACTTGATCCCTTTCCACATGATTCATCACTGTGACTATTCTGTTCTTCTAGGAAAAGAAAAAATCTCCTTGTTTTCTCCTACCTTCCTGGTTGCTCCTTCAGTCTCACCCCCCCTGCTGGCTCCTCCCTCAGCTCTCTCTTCTCACCCTGTGCAGTCATCCACACCCTCAGCTTCTATGACAGAGATGACTCGCACATTCACATCAGCAGCTGGGGTCTCCCCTTTGAACCTGAGATCCATACATGCAAGCGCTTACATGATCGCCATCTTGGTGTCTCAAAGACTTCAAACCCAGTATGTCCAAAACTGACCTCATGATCCCCTGCACCAAAACCAGTCCTCCTCCAGGGCTCCGATTCATTGAATGATACCACCATCCATCCAGTGTCACAAACCAGCAAATGAGGGGTCAGCCCTAACACTGCCTTATTCCCACCCCCATGTCTGGCCATCACCCAGCCCTTGGACTTGTCTCCAAAATATCTCCGGCACTCATACCCACTTCTTGAGCCACTGCCACCTCTCACCTGGACAAGGCAAAACATCCTGATGGATGTCCCTGCATCTATGCTTGCCTCTCTCCAAAACACACTTCTCTTGGCAGCCCGAGTATCTTTCCAAAACCTAAAGCTGATTACATCACATCCCTGCTCAGATTCCTTTAGTAGATTCTACTCAGGAAGCCTGAGGATAGAGACCAAATCCCTAAGATGACCTCCCAGGCCCCATGCCCTCAGACCCCTGCTTACCCTTCCTCTAGCCCATGTCAAGCGTTCATAGACCACGTACTTCTGTTCCTCCCACCCTTGTGCCTTTGCATGTATTGGAGTTATTATTTGGCTAACATCTCTCTCTCCGTCACTGGACTATAAGATCTAAGAGGGTAGAAGCCATGACTGGTCTTGCCCATTATCTCCTCAGCAGCTGGCATAGGCTTTGCATAAAGTATTCAATATATTTTTTATATTATTTTCTTCCTCTCCTCCAATCCCAATCCCCTCCCCTCGCATGCACAGCTATTTTTATGATATCTGGTCTCCTAAATGGCCCCCAGTGATCCCCACATCCTGGTGTTCACACTCTGTGTCATCTCCGTTGCACCAAGGTTGGTCGATGTGACCAACAGGACGTGGCAACAGTGACAGACCACATGTCGCCTAAGATTAGGGGATGAAAGACTGCAGTTTCTGTCTTGGTGCTCTCTCTTGGATTACTCACTCTGGAGAAACTAGTTCACGAGCCGCCCGGTGGAGAGGTCCACAGGGCAAAAGCTGTGCGAATGAGCTGGGAATGGGCCCTCCAGCGCCAGTCAAGTCTCCAGACGACTCCAGCCTTATGCGCCAACTCGAGCCAAGCCGCCCAACCAAGCTGCTCCCAGAGTCCTGACCCTTAGAAACTGGGTGAGATTATACACGTTCGTTGCTTTAAGCTGCTACATTTGGAGTTAATTGTTTCATGCAGCAATAAATAAAGAAAACGAATGCAATCTTATTCTGTTCAATGTATATCTGCCTGAGTGTATTCTTATAAAATATGTGTTTATTTTGCATGCATATAGTTTAATTTATGTAAGCAGTATTATCTTATATATCACACTGTTTGGCTGTTTTCTTTAGCACATGTGTTTAAGATTCAACCCTGCCAGGGCACCTGGGTGGCTCCGTTGGTTAAACATCTGACTCTTGATTTCGGCTCAGGTCATGATCTCAGGGTCATGAGATCAAGCTCCGTGTCAGGCTCTGCACTGAGCGTGGAGCCTGCTTAAGATTATCTCTCTTCCTCTGCCCTTCCCCTGCTCTCTCTCTCTCTTAAGATGAGATATCACCTCACATCTGTCAGAATGGCTAAAAT